TTTGTTTCGCCTGCGCACAGGGAAGGGCAACGCCCATCCAATACCCTAACTCTATTGGAGTAAAATTGATGACTAAATTGGCGAGAAGGGTGAAATCAATGGCCTAAGGGCTAAGGGGACTCCCTGCAGGAGAATTCATGGCAGAATTGGGGGCGGAAGAAATCAAGATGAAGGGGAAGAAAACCCATAATATGGCGGACCTGAAGGATGAACAGAATTTTGATTCTCGATTGCTGTAAGCCTGTAACCACCACTTCCGTTGCCACCGCCGGCCAATGGACTTGAAGTAACTTCCAATGAGCTACGACGGAGGGAGAGAGAATTGGGCTAGGGGTGAATGCGTCATTTCAGTGTAATTTAGGGCGATAAAATTCAAATTTTAGGGCGACAAATAGCAATTCAGTTGATTTAAGGTTGTGTTCAAGATTTAATGGTGTTGGGTTGCCATATTTGGTAAACAAATTAGACAATTGCCTAGTTTGGTCACCTTCGGGTCAATTGAGGATTTAATAGGTGAATGGGTTAATTGCATGGTTGGTCACTGAGATTACAAAAAACGTTCATGTTTGATCACTAAGAATATTTAATTGCATTCTTAGTCACTAAGATTAATTAAACAGTTCAAATTTAGTCACTCTCCGTCCAACTCCGTTAACTTTTGCTTACGTGGCAGTCAACTCTCAGAATTGACCGTTAAATGTGTGACATGGCAATTAAAAAATAATAAAATAAGTTATATTTAAATTTTCCACCTTATTTCTAACCATTAAAAAGATAAACAAAATTAAAAAGATAAACAAAATTAAAATTGTTCCCCCTCTCGTGTGACGACGACCCGTGAGCCACTCGCGGTGGCGGACTCCTCTGGCCTTCCTCCACCGTCACTTCCAACCCATCGGCCAATAGTAGTACTGCGAAAACTCTGGCATATTTTCTTTTGAGGAGCAAGAGACTGATTAACGAAGTCCTGGAAGAGAAGAAATCAGACCCTGAGTCCCTGACAAATTATCCGTCGTAGCTAACAGCGGGTTCTCCGCTCTGGGAAGACAGAGGAGCGGCAGGGAGGTAATAGCTCAAACCCACTGTTGAAGCTTCCAGTAGTAGGCAGCCCACAACCTTCCTTCTCTGGGAGCTTCAAATTAATATCCACATGATGACTAGAATTAGAAGCACGGAACACAATTCCTCCGTTCAAGCTACTCAATTCAATTCCCCTATTTACATTCTTAGAAACAGCTGAAAACAAAGCGAGCAAGTCAATGATGAGTTTCATAGAAAGATTTGCCAAAGGAACTCCAAAATCAAAATATACGTACAGTTCGAGATGGTGCCTAGTTGAGGTCTCCCATTTATGGCCCCAAATTGAATGGAAGAAGAACCCTAGAAATGAAAGATTGGAAGCCGTCAATAAAAAGAAGGAGAATTAAATAATTTCTTCAATTTTCAAAGGAAGAACCAACAACAATATACTCACAGTTCGACGAGTCACGTGATAGCGAGTTTGGAATCAGAGTTTGGAATCGGCGGCTCGTTTGGAGTCCAAATCCATCGTTGACGAAGAGGCCAACGGAGAAAGGCAGTAGGCAAGGGGAGGGAGATACTGGAGTGAAGGATACCACCGCTAAACAAGGGAAGCCGGATTGAGAGTCGGAAGTGAGAAAGATTGCCGGAGAACGCGGCGGCAGAGGGAACAGACGGAGGCGAGGAGGATTACTCGTTTGTTCTTATTTTCAAGAATTTATATATTTTTTATTTTTTTAATATTTAGAAATGAGGTGGAAATTTTAAAAATTATTTATCATATTATTTTTTAATTGCCATGTCACACATTTAACTGTCAACTTTTAGAGTTGACTGCCACGTAAGCAAAAGTTAACGGAGTTGGACGGAGAGTGACTAAATTTGAACTGTTTAACTAATCTTAGTGACTAAGAATGAAATTAAATATTTTTAGTGACCAAACATGAACATTTTTTGTAATCTCAGTGACCAACCATGCAATTAACCCATAGTTGAATTGTATTCTTGGACCTTTAGAGGTTTTGTGAGGATGCGCCACGAATTGGAATAATAAAAAAACGTCGAATAAAAGAGAAGAATAAAATAACCATCTTATTAAAATAAATAAAATTTAAAAATACATTACTAAATAAAAACTACAATGTGATCGACACAGCTTCGACACGGGTGTGTTCTTGCATAATGTTAGGTCCATCAACAGAAAATGACATAACTGTTGTCTTCCGCGTCGAAATGAATGCGAAACGTGGTCTGGTAGTGAACAACACTTGGAACACTGCCATGTTGCCCACCAATGTTGATAGAATATTGCACTCTCGACATGGCTTCGACTTATGACGACCAAGGTGAACACGGCCGTGTCCTTGGGTGTGTTCACCCTTTTGATGGCTGATGACTTGGTCTTCAACATGGGTGTATTGTAGAATGCGTTGATGTTGATGTGGTCTTTGGACATGGCCATGTTGCTGACCACATTGGGACTTTTGACAACTTTTCCTTCAGTTTACCGGCGGTAGTCTGACTCTACATTTTTCGGGTTGACTCTGCATTGTCGATGGACTCATCACCATGTTGACATCAAAAGGGGACGCAACCGAAGTGGTACGACTCTTTGCACTCGCCTAGAACGTCACAGGCTTGAGTCCCACCGACGTCAGATTTCAAACTTTAACCTTCTTTTTGCTTTCTTCCTCCATGTTCCTCAATCTTTCGTTTCCTTTGGATAAAATTCCCTCAAACATCACTCAAACACAAAACCAAGCGTAAAACTGGAATACTGAATGAACTTAGTACAACCTAGGTCATTTTAGGATATAAAAGTGTTGGTGAAAACGTGTATATGTTAGGTGTTATCATGTCTACATCATGGAATGACTATAGGAAGAAATTGTTTCATACCTCAAAGGAGTTCACGTTGTAACAAATTCAGAAGCTCTTAAGGATCAAGGAGGAAACTCGAATATGTGAAAAGGATATGAATTCGGAAGCACCACCAAGTTGCAAAGTGAATGTTGTGGAGAACAAGAGGGGGCAAGAAAAGAAAGGACATGAACCATTCTAACGACCAAAATAATAATAAGAAGAAATCGACCGATATGTTTGCCAATAAATGCTTCAATTGTGGGCAATTGGGACATACTATTCGATTTTTTCCTAATCCCAATTAGAGAAACCAAAACAAGGGGACTGCAAGTGAAAATGTGATAGAGAAAGTTGAGCCTAGTGAGAGTGTGGCAATGATTTATGACTTACACGTGGGTACGATTTAGGAATTGCACATGGATGGAGTCATGACCAGTAATGATTGTTGGAGTCATGACCACTGTGCGCAAGCCAAGATCAAGATAAAACCATTTTCTAAGTTAGTTGACAGAAATTAAGATTTATTAGAATACACTATGATAATTGTGAAATTTACGATCAGTTAACTAGAAGGGATGTAGGTACTTGATTCGGGTCTAATTGTACACATTTTATCTCCGTTTTCCTTAGACATTTGATGCATTTGTACTCCGTGAGGTGTGGTTTTATGCTAGGTTGCACTTTGTTTTAGTATGTTTTAGATCCTAGCAGGTGAAACTGACCCCGAAATCGAAAGTGGGACGAAAAGGAGCGAAAATGAGTCAAAGGGTGGAAGCAGTTGAGGATCATGGCGGATGAAGAGTTTCCACGGTCTTATGGACTATGAAACGGGCGCCCCGACTGTGAAGCGCTGATGTTCCAAAAGCAAAATGCATACCTCAGTGGAGTCCAACCAGTTCATGATCGTAATACTGTGACTGGAAACGTGAACTCTAGCCCCATACCGTGAACAAACTAACTGAAAACGGTGCGGATTTGCTCGTCATCACAGTCCAAGAAGGATGTTCACGGCCTTGAACTAAGACCGTGAATTGCCCGCGACCTGGTTATAAAAAGAGGGTTGAGCTAAAGGAAAGAGGGGGGGGGGGGGAGATCTAGGGTGAAAAACTTCATCTTCTTCAGTTTTCTAGATAGAGAAATTGACAAACCAAATAAGAGAAGAGGTTAGGGTTTCTTCTCCCTTGTGTTTCCTCTTTGCCTAGCATGGAGTAGTTTCTCTTTTCACTTGGGTGTGTGTAAACCATAGCTACAATGATGTGAATGTTTGTATGGATTGAATGAGTAGTGTGTGGATGTTTTTTAATAAAAATTTATGAGGTATTTTCATGAAGATTGATTGTGTTTATTGCATTTCAATGTCTTATGCCATCTTAACCTAGGTAGAGGGGAATCTCCTTTGATTAGAGGCCTGTAAAAGCTGGATCTCCTTGGGCAATCTTTCTCTCCTACTTAGGTTAAATTAGGGACAACCTCTTAATTTGTATTAGTACATAGGGTTGGTTGTTATTCGGTCGTCCAAACTCCAATTCGAGGGTGAAGTCTAGGCAACCCTTGGTTGATAGGTCAAGAGAGCTACTTTGGTGGCTTGAATCATATTCCCTTGGCCTATCAACGAAGAGAGTGGCATTTGTTCCCTAGTTGCACTTCCCTACAGTTTACAACTGCTTATCCCACACCTATGAATTCGATCCAACAAGTCATCATTGTTAGCTAGGGGGAGCAACATCCGAGGGAAACCTTCTCAATTAGTGTCAAATCCATTTACTTTTAAAAACGTTTTAGTTATAGATCGTTGTTTTCAACAATAATCAATTTCTAGATAATGTTTCAAACAATCGAAGTAGGGGTACATGGTCCGGCCCGGGTTGATATTTAAACATACTTGCCCTAAGGTTTATACTTGGGCCTTAATTGGAATTTTTATTGTGATATTCGGGACAAATCAGTACTTCATTACGTTCATTGAAGATAGTACTTGATTTACATATGTATATCTAATGCGAACAAAAGATAGAGCTTTTGATAAGTTTTTAAGTTTAGGCAACCCTCTTACTAGTTCCAAATTAGTTAATTTAGGCAAAACTCTAGAATGAATGTGACCTAATTTCATATGCCAATTAAACTGGTCATCCTTATTAAGAGACATAAGGCACATATCCTCAGGAATGATATGTTTTTCTAGATCCATCACACACTTTTCCATAAGCAGTATTTCTTTAGTTGAGCTACTTTCAATATAGCAGACATCTGATTCAAAAGAAACCCTTTTTACAAATTTGGTTTACTAAAATTAGATCATGTTTCATATTGTTGACTAGTATGACATCAATAATACTAGTACCAGATATCACTGTTCCTCCACCCATAATATATGCACGAATATTATTGCCAAAATAAACCTTACCTTCTTTACAAGCTTTGAGACTAGTGAACAAGTTTCTATTACCCGTCATATGATGTGAGCATCCACTATAAAAAATCCACATGTTTTTCATCTTGCTCACTTCAATCCTGCAGAAGTAAACAACAATTTTGTTATTTCGCACCCAGATAGTCTTGGGCATGTAGTTTACTGGATGCATATATCATAAATCATATTTGATCCAAACTACTTCTTTCTTTTTCAACATTTATTATTTTTCTACAGAATTTGATATTGCGTCTCTTATTATGACAGTAGAATCAAGTTACACTAGTTTTGAACTCATTTGCAAATCCCATAGAGTGCTCACAGTCTTCTTTTGCGTAGCCAATGCCTTTGACAAGACATATTTTCTTTTAAGAACTTTTAGTTTTGCAAGTAAGTTAATATTTGTTCTTCGATCTCTTATATATTCTTGGATAGATTTACAAATTTCTCTTTGTACTCATTTGTTTCCTTCTTAAGCAGATTACACTTCCTAGTCATTTGAGAATGATCTTCTTTAAGTTTAGAGTCTTCTGATGAGGGCATCAACACCAAGGCGATCAAAAGTCCAACTTTGGTGCGAGAGGAACGTGGTCCAATCACTAGAAGTCAAGCCAAGGCATTAAAATGTTGACTTCAAGATTATTTGGCAGAGTATTTTCCATCTTTGGAGTCAAATCCGTTAATGGGGAAAGAGGTCAATATAATCCAAGTCCAAGAGGAGAAAGAAGGAAGTTTTTGATACCCAAGTTGGCCAAACATGGAAAGGGAATAATTAGTTGCTAAGAATCTTCCATTAGTATAAAAAACAATCCGTTAGAATCTTTTAGGTATTTGTTTCCTTCTTTAACTATTATTTGTTTCCTTCTCAATTTTGTAACCTCTATAAATAGAGGGTATTATGATACGGGCTGAACAACTTTTGGATCAAAAGAAAACCCTTATTAGAGTGTTCATTCTTGAAACTCTCTTATCCTTCTTACTCTCTTCGTGGAATCGAGCCGTCTAGAAGAAACCGACGTTATCAACTAGCTCATCATCCTAGTTGTGGAGTCACTTCGTATACATGGCCCTATGCTCAATTGTGGCATTGGTTTGAGTTATTTTCCGCCCCTTTGCTCTTGGTTTGGCTAATCGATCTTTGTTGCATATTCTGATTGTTTAAGTCCACGAGTTAGAGCCTCGACTAATATCAGGTGGTATCAGAGCTCCGGTTCAAACACAGTGGCATACATATCCTCCTATCTTGTGTGAAAATAAGCCAAACAAGTTTTGTGTTCTTAAAAGTCGCCAAGATTACAAAAAAGTTCAAGTTTGGTCACTCGAAATATTTAAATCCATTGGTGGCACTTCACTTTACAAAAACCATTCACGTTTGGTCACTCTCCGTTAGCTTCCGTCCATCTCCGTTAACGAAGTCCTTTAAGTGATGACGTGGCGGACATAATCGTCTAATCAACACTTTTAACCAAAAAATAGTCTGACCCGACCCGCCACGTCATTGAAACCCCCAGCTCATCTAAACCTACCCAACCCTTTAATCAAACCAAACCAAACCAAACCCAACCCGACCCACCAACCCAACTACCCACCAAGATTAAATTCCCAAATCGAAGAAAAATCAACACCTTCCCCTTCTCCCTTCAGCAACGACAAGAAGTGCGGGAAATTAGTTGTAAGGAGTGTGAAATCGGAGAGGCTGTCAGATCTCGTGAGTATTGCGGAGGTGGAGAGCGAGACGGAGACGAAGAAGAAAGTCGAAGTGTTGGAGGAGCTGAAATGAGCGGTGAAGGAATTGTAGTTGGAAGATGAAGAAGAGAAGAGGAAAGAAGCTGCTCGCCAGGTGAGGTTACTGCCGAAAGAAGATTCTGGAGCTAGAGTTACTTTGGCTATGTTAGGTGCGATTCCTCCTCTCATCGGCATGATCAATTTCGAAATTGCTGATTCTTAGATCGCTTCCCTCTATTCCTTGCTCAATCTCGGAATCGGAAACGACGCATAAGTATCCTCGCCATTTTCTCCTTTCCTTTTCCTTTTTCGCGCATTTTATGTCTACCATTTTTCAACTGAGTGCTTGTCGATTCTCAGAGGTGGAGAGGAAGAAAAACGAGAGGGAGGAATGCAGCACAAGATGGAAAAGGGGAAGGTGTTTGATTTTTCTTCGATTTAGGGATTTTATCTTGGTGGGTAGTTAGGTTGGTGGGTCAGGTTGGGTCTGGTTTGGTTAGAGGGTTGGGTAGGTTTAGATGAGCTGGCAGGTTTCAATGACGTGGCGGGTTAGGTCAGACTATTTTTGGTTTAAATAGTGTTGATTAGACGATTGATCCGTCCGCCACGTCATCACTTAATGGACTCTGTTAACGGAGATGGACGGTAGTTAACGAAGAGTGACCAAACGTGAACAGTTTTCGTAAAGTGAAGTACCACCAATGGATTTAAATATTTTGAGTGACCAATCTTGAACCTTTTTTGTAATCACAGTAACCAACCATGCAATTAACCCTAAAAAAAGAGAAAAAGCATAAAATCGAGAAGAATAGCTCGGAAAAGACAAGAATAGAGGCCAAATCACGCAAGTTTGTGTTTTGATCATGGTTGTTAAACCACTGCCATGCTAGCCGGTTATACTAGATTCAACCGGTGCTGCTCACAAAACCGATTGGAATACCAACGGTATTAGGTGATGGTCAATTTCGGTCAAAACCCGAAATACCGGTTGTCCAACCGGAATTATGGAGTTCCGGTACCTGACCATTTGACGCGTCATTTTTCAATTATCATTCTCACATGAACCTCCCCTTCCTCTTTGCCTTTTCTGCTTCCTCCTTGTGAACCCTAGGAAAAATCAATTTCATTCAGTGGCCCGACAGATTGGAGGCAACTTTAGCTCCATCACACACCGGTGGCTACCGCGGGCTTGGATATGAGGTGGCGTCCTTCCTCGCGGAGAATGGAGAGAAAGGCGTTGATGCGGTGGGCGGAGAAGATTTCCACGCCGTCGACATGACCAAGGTCACGCGAGAGGTCACCGTTTGTGTACCCAAGCTCACTAAGGAGGCAGAGGAGACTATGACGTTGAGGTGGGTTCCAAGGCGGAGGGAGAAGATTGTGTAGTGGTCTTGGGCGAGGGCATGAAGTTGCGTTGAATTGGGGGTTTCAAGAGGCTTACGGGGCCGAGGATCAGGAGCGCCGATGGTGCTTGGAGGATGTTTCTGACGGAGGAAGCGTCCGGAGGTTATGGATTTAAGTGTGCTGATTTTGCAGCTGGAAGCACGGTTGAGGAGTCTAAAGGTGAGGAATTGGGATGTTCTGCAGGTGCTGTTAAAAGGAATTCTATTATTGAGGTTTATGACAAGGATAGGAAGAAGGGAGGAGCAGCTGGAATGGATATAACTTTATTGTTGACCAGGAAAAAGTAACCTACTATTGACTATTGATTCTGCTCATCCTATTAGTGCTGCATAAACTTCAATTTTTTGGCCATTTGTGTTAAGATTCTGCCAGTTGGGAGAATTACGATGTTATGATTAATGATTTTCAGTTTTTTCTATACATATTTGTTAAAACCGGTATAAACTGGCTTATACCAGTATGTAACACGGTTAAATCATTTGACTTGTAAACCCGCCAAACCGGTTTATACCGGTGCGCCAGTTTCGTGAGTGGAATGATTCGACCGTGGTAGAACCAGTTTGTCATGCCGGTCATGCCGGTTTTAACAAAAAAATAAAAGAAATTATAGGAACAAACCAATAAATATTACATATATAGTAGAAATCAAATTACTCAATTGTCAATTCCAAATAATACCCAAAGCAATTTCTAAAAAATTCCCCTATGCTCACTTTATCAATGCCTTCTTAGTCCATCCTCCTCCTTCTGCGGTGGATTTGTCCATTCCGTTGTATCCAAAATTCCCATTCCCCAAATGAGCTCTGTCGCTGCATGTGTACATCAACGAAGCACCGTGCGATCCAGTTGCCGATGTCTTGTTGCTATAGATTCTGGAATGAAGCCGCCGATCCTCGACGGTGAGCCTTCTTGCCGTCGTAGTGTCCTCCGCCTCCATAGTGATATTGGACAACTCTGAACAACTATATCACCACAACCCAAGCCACCTACGGTAACCATTGGTGCAAACTCAGACGCATCGACGTGGTGGAGGTTTTCTCCGTCCACCGCCTCCACACCTTCCTCTCCATCCGCCGCGAGGAAGTCTGCGAGCAGTCACCACCGCATGAAAGAGCTGAAGACTTCTGCCGATCTATCTCTGTTTCTCTGGATTTGAGATTGGAGTTGTGAGCTGTGTAAGGAAATTAAATTTCTAGGGTTCACAGGATAAAAGGTGGAGAGGGATCGGATTGGTGGAAAGCCAAAAACTATCTCAAAACAATTTTTTTCATAGAATGATTAAAAATGGCATTGTAATAGCCCAGGGACCGGAAACCTCAAGCCCGTTGGATCACTGGTATTTCAAGATTTGATCGGATTTGACCGGTTTTGACCTCCACTTAATACCAGCGACATTTTAGCCGGTTTTGTGACCGGTACCGGTTGATCCTAGTACAACCGGCTGGCATGCCACTGGTTTAACAACCATGGTCTTGATCAAGTTTTGTGCAGTCCTGAGATTTCTTGCGGCTCGAGCTACTATTGTATTGCTTGTTCTACTTGTGGACTAAGAAGCTCGTATAGGGTTTCTGAGAGCGAGTGGAAAGAGACCTCATGAGTTCAATATCAGTTAAGAGCCATTTTTAGTGAAACACAAGTGGCAAGAAAAAGAGTGACCTGAAAACGAGTGAAACACGTGAGGGAGTGACTTGTGAGGTCCTTTGTTTGTACCACTAATTTGAAACTTTAAGCATTGACGGATTACTTCTTGTTTCGAGTTTCTGAACTAAATGGCAGGAGAAGGAGAAATTCGCAACAATCAAAAAGTTCATAACTTGGAGGGCATTCCACAAGCTACCATGGATGATCTTATGAGACCCCTTAACCGGATGATGCAAGGCCAGCAGGATCAGATTAACGCTCGCCTCGATGAAATGGCCCAAGATATCAACCTCCACCCCGAGGATGAGAAGGACGAAGATTTTCCACCACCACCACCACCACTGGGTGGAAGGCGAGGCCGACCCCTGGGTCCCAACAATCTTAGACCTCTACGAGGCTGAGGAGGTAGTGGTCGAAGAGGAAGACTCTCAGTTCACGCTCGTACAGCTCCTGAACCACATGACTATGAGGAGTACTACGAGGAGGAGGAGGAGGAGTATCCCCAGCATATGGATGATGATATGAGGGGACTGAAGGTGAAGATGCCATCATTTCAAGGGAGAAGTGATCCTGAAACTTACCTCGTATGGGAGAGAAAGATGGAGTACTTGTTCGAGTGCCACGACTACTCCGAACTGAAAAAGGTAATCATTGTTGCTCTTGAGTTTTCTGAATATGTCGTTGTTTGGTGGGACCAGCTGGGTGCTGAACGGAGATTGCACGATAAAGATCCCATCATGACATGGCATCAAATGAAGGCAGCCATGAGGAGGAGATTCGTCCCATTCATTATCAACGGGATCCGCATCAAGCTCTTCACTTGTTGAGATAGGGTGCGAAGAGCATTGAGGATTATTTCAAAGAGATAGAGACATTGATGATTAGAGCTCGCATCAATGTAGCTCGGCGACTTCTGAACTTGCAATAAAGAGAAGAGATTGAGCAACGAGAAAACCTCTTGCATATAATACGCCCCTGGGGGGTGTATGTTATCAAAGTAACGCAGCAAACAACTCAAACGAAGATTCGATTGAGCTCGAATCAAGAACGAAACGTTCTTAATACGAACTTGGATAAAACGGAACCAAAAGGACGATTCCACACCTGGGGAACGCTAGATTGGAATAATGGGTAGCTGCTCGACCACGATTGAAGAGGATATTCAATCGATACAAAGCTCACAAGCTTGGAATCCACCAAACTCAAAACAAGTTCGCAAACTTGCGCATAACCGAAGTTTCTATTCAATTCAACAAAGTCTGAATTTTACAACGAAATAGAACGATATTTTAAGGCAAATAAAATCTAATACAATCCTAATAGAACCAGAAAACAATAAAGGTAAAATTCTACACTAAAAAGGACTCAAAATTCGGGTTTAAACTCCTTTTCTTCAAACGCAAGTAAGCTGCCAGCAAACAGTCCAAAAGCAGCTTTTGTACTAACTTCACGCCTTTCGTTCGAGGCATCCAGAACTCCGATCCTTCATCTAGTTCCTTCCCTTGGTAGATAAACATTCCTACTTTCATGTTATAGAAGCCTTTTGAATTGCATCCCATCCATGCTCCTTGAATTGAGCTCCAAAGTAGGCTTCAGAAAACAGTTTTCTGCCATAGCCATTTTCTGGCAGTTTTCCAGTTTTAAGGTAGCAACTTTGAGGCCTTGGAAAACAACCTTAATGACTTCTTCTGGATCCAAAATTGATACCATTGGAAAGATGGAAACTTTATCTTCAAAACAAGCCCTTGAACTCTAATTGTTAGTGAGCCAATTGTGAGAACCATTCCTCCAATGTAGGTATCTCGAAACTGTTCCAACAATTAACCAAATTTTGCCTTTTTTCTTCCCAACTTCGATAGCTTCTTTGTCAAGTAATTGTGACGTGAATGGTTGCCAATTTGGGATCATATCAGGCTCCCCCTCTTCAAAAAGTTTTGCCCTCAAAGCTTGATCCTTCCTCTTGTCCAAAGCTTCGCAGAACTGGTCCAAAATTGGATCTAAAGAGGGTTGCTCAAACACAATTTTCGGCATAAAACTTGAATCCTCATATCCTTCTTCATTATGTTTCAGCAGCTTCATGGGACTCCAAAGGATCTTCCCCACGCAAAAATCAAACGAAATATGAATCAAAATAGAATTTTGCACGTTATAGATGCCGGCCAAAAAAATTCCAGTTTCCGACAACTTCAACTTTTCCGGCGGGAGCTTCGAATTTGGGGATTTCTTTTCTAAGCCATCTCGATTTAATTGAAGGATTCTATCGTGTTCGTCTGGGTTAGGGAAAGCGGTTCCTTTAGTTTCCAAGCTTCGAATCTGCCCGAATTGACTCCAATCGTCATCCACATGTTTCCCGCCATTGGCAAATTTGTAAATTCCAGTTTCCGACGAAGGAAACCTAGAATCCGGCGACCAAAAATTGAAATTGGGGAATTGCGATTATGGCAGTTTCGTACCGTTTTATGCGCACCTACACCATCCTTTGACACCCATGAATCGATTCCAAGCATTCGACTGGATCGAATCACACTCAAAAGTCGCAACCAATTCAGCTTTCTCGTATTTGTTGTTCGTCCCGTTTTGTCATGAATTTGACAAATCGGGCATTTTCGATTTGCCTCTCATCCCCATTCGACTCGTTCTACACGTTCCTTCCACCCTCCCAAACTCGCCCCCATCAATCGATTGGGTTGATTTAGCCTAAATCTTCTCAACCGATCTGGCCAGAATCTCATCACGTTTTGTCGTTTCCAGAGGCGTTGCGAATCGGATTTGTCCCATCGAATCAATGGGATTCAACTCAGTTTCGATGAAATCAATCCTGGATCATCCAAAAACATGTTGGAAAGCTCAGTGTGGCTCACCTCGCTCCCCGGACTTCCACCCAAAACACTCCCATTCGTGCTTTGCTCCCACGATGAAGAACAGAGGTCTCCAACCACTTCTTCAACGCACTGGAACTCCAGCTTCTGCATTGGAGGATCCCCACTTAAATTTTCCATTTCCTTTGCTCGCTCCTCCTCGTCTTGGAGCTTTTGCAACAGGGTGGCCTGATCTTCAACAGCTTCTTCTGGCGATAGAAGCTTTAGAGCAAAAATCTTTCCGCAATTCCGCAATCTGATTCAGTTGGTTCTCCTGCTATGTCGAGCATCGTGATCATCGTGCCAAGGCTTCTCAAGCACAACATGAGTCAATTTCAGAGGCACAACATCGCACCGAACCACATCTTCGTAGCTCCCAATTATGAATGGTAAGATTACTTCCTCTATTACAAAAATGAGGCCTTCTTTCTCCAACAACGACACCGAGTAAGGAGCTGGATGTTTTCGTATCGACAGCCCCAATTTAGCAATTGTTCGTGAGCTAATAAAGTTCGATTGTCTCTCACCATTAACGTACACAAATCACACCTTATCTCCCAACAAACAGCGAGTGTAAGAAGTCAGGTTACCTTGCTCAAATTCTGCCATTGTCGGAGCTCGCAGAAAGTTGTACTCTTCTTCTCCTGTCCACTGATTTGAACGCGGCTCTGATACCACTTAATACGCCCCAGGGGGGCGTATGTTATCAAATTAACGCAGCAAACGACTCAATCAAAGAATCGATTGAGCTCGAATCAAGAACGAAACGTTCTTAATACGAACTTGGATAAAACGGAACCAAAAGGACGATTCCACACCTGGGGAATGCTCGATTGGAATAAGGGTATCTGCTCGACCACGATTGAAGAGGATATTCAATCGATACAAAGCTCACAATCTTGAAATCCACCAAACTCAAAACAAGTTCGCAAACTTGCGCAAAACCAAAGTTTCTATTCAATTCAACAAAGTCTGAATTTTACAACGAAATAGAATGGTATTTAAAGGAAAATAAAACCTAATAAAATGCTAATAGAACCAGAAAACAATTAATTTAAAATTCTACACTAAAAAAGACACAAAATTCGGATTTAAACTCCTTTTCGTCAGACGCAAGTAAGCTACCAGCAAACAGTCCAAAAATAGCTTTTGTACTAACTTTACGCCTTTCGTTCGAGGCCTTTCAGAACTCTGATCTTTCATCCAATTCCTTCCCTTGGTAGATAAACATTCATACTTTCATTTTATAGAAGCCTTTTGACTTGCATCCCATCCATGCTCCTTGAATTGAGCTCCAAAGTAGGCTTCACAAAATAGTTTTCTGTCTTAGCCATTTTCTGGCAGTTTTCCAGTTTTGAGGTAGCAACTTTGAGGCATTGGAAAACAACCTTAATGACTTCTTCTGGATCCAAAATTGATACCATTGGAAAGATGGAAACTTTATCTTCAAAGAAAGCCCTTGAACTCCAATTTTCAGTGAGCCAATTGTGAGAACTATTCCTCCAAAGTAGGTATCTCGAAACTGTTCCAACACTTCACCAAATTCTGCCTTTCTTCTTCCCAACTTCAATAGTTTCTTTGTCAACTAATTGTGACGTGAATGGTTTCCAATTTGGGATCATATCACCATACCCGTTGCTTGGTCAATGGGAAGCTGCACCAATGTTGTTAGCTCTCACATGGTAGCGAAGCAAGGATTGAAGACCATCAAGCATCCATGCCCCCTACACATTGCAGTGGCTGAATAAGGATGAAGCCATTTAAGGTGACACGCCAGGTACTACTCAGTTTTGGGATTGGGAGATACAAGGATGAGGTGCTCTGTGACGTGGTGCTTATGCAAGCTGCTCACATCCTAATGGGACGACCGTGGCAATTCGATAGAGCTGCCCAATATGATGGCAGGACAAACAAGTACACTCTGTCCTGCAAGGGGTGGGCACATACCTTGGTGCCAATGACTCCTTAGGAGGTCTATGAAGACCAAGTGAAGTTGCAACAACTCCGTGAGCAAGAGAGGGGGCAAAAACTCTAGTAGAGAGAAAAGAAGAGAAAAATTTGAGTGACCCCAACCTAGTGAGTCATCCACGAGAGGAAAAAAAAAATCTCAAGAAAAGAACGAGGATTGAAGCTCCACTAAGAAGAGAAAATTTCTTTGTGAGTGGAAGTGAGATTAAGCAAGCTTTGAACACCGAGGAGTCGATGATCATGCTTCTTTACAAGGAGACACTTTTTAGTTCTAATGATCTTCAGGCTTTGCCTAGTAGTGTTTGGCTTGTTTTGTAGGAATTCGAGGATGTCTTCGCTGAGGAAGATCCCAAGTGGCTGCCGCAGATCAGAGGGATCGAGCACCAGATCAATTTCGTTCCTGGTGCTTCAATTCCAACAAGCTAGCGTATCGAACCAATCCAGAGGAAACCAAAGAGCTCCAACTGCAGGTGGACGAGTTGATGGAGAAGTGCCACATTTGAGATAACATAATTCCTTGTGATGTACCCGTCATACTCGTACCCTTTCTTTGTAATGATTTGATGCACTTCCTTTTCTTTTGTCTCTCCTGACTCTCATGAGCTACAAGATTTGTTTTTCTTAGCACTGCAAGCTTGTCATCATCCATATCCTCGTAACTATCAGGATCAGCTTTATCCAATGCCATAGCTTTAAAGGTGATTCCTCTTCTTTCTTTCTACTGTTCTTTTGTACTTTCTTGTCTTAGTTTTTATTCATATGTGGCAAGTGAACTAATATGTTCATCCACATCAAAATTGCTTAAGTTTCAAGCTTTTTTGATGGTCGTCACTTTAGAATTCCATTGTTTTGGTAGAGTCCACAAGATCTTGCGAACAATGTCCCCACTTTCGTAAGAAAGCCCCTAATTCTCCAGATTGTTGACTATATTTGTGAATCTTTTAGGCATTTGTCCGATAGATTCACTTTCATCCATCTTAAAGATATCGAACTCTATCTTAAGCATATTTATTCGATAAATTTTTACATGAGAGGTACCTTCGTACGAGACTTGAAGCTTGTCCCAAATCTCCTTAGCAGTATTGCACCAAGGCCAGTACATAAGATTTGTAGCTTTGCAGTTTTGTTGGAATTTTTTAAAATCCTCGTCAGTCCATTTCTCTCTATCAACCTTGAGTTGGTGAGGACCATAGATGGTACAATTCCATATTTTTGGATTGGTTGATCCAATGAATAGCTCCATACGGTTCTTCCAGTATTCATAATTCACGCCCTCAAACCGTGGCATTCGTCTGTGAGAATCCATCAGCAAGATAAATAGTGACACTATTTCCCAAACTCGACGCCATGTTGATCTCACCGGAGGTCGTTGAACCTTATCGGCTCTGATGCCACATGTTGGATCATCAAGTGCGAGTTGATGTCTTCTTATTTGTAGATTGCTGCTTGCTGATTGAGCTTTGTTCAGAACACTAAAGAGTTGCAAAAAGAAGAGAAGATGAACAAGGAGGAAAGGTATGGTTGATTGAAATAAGATAGCTAATCAATATGACTTAGTTTGTTTCAGTTGAAAAGAGCAAACTCTTGGGCTGGCAAGAGTTGAACAAATGAAGTCCAACACTATAAAACAAGCCCACGTATTAATCAAGCAAAGCCCACTTATTTGAATGATATTCCTACACACTAATTTATTCACACAAGTAAGCCCAACACGAAAAACGTTGTCGTATAACGAAACACAAGACAACCTTCCACAACTTCTTGTTCTGGATCAAAAGCTTCCTCTGCACTTTTGTTGGCAATGAATACAAAAAACAGAGACTAAAAACCCAACTAATCAATCACGACCAATGCAATAAAGAACACCAATTTTTTTTTACGTGGTTTCAGTGTTAAGGATCTTAACACTGGCTATTCCACGGTCAGAGATTTATAGTGTGCAGTCTCTCACATTTCACTAAAGATTTGGCTTTGATGTACTCGAGGTTTATAGAACTCAACCCCTTCGATCTTTGATTCTTTTCTTCTACTTGATCAAAGGTCCCTCTTTTCACACTCTATCGACTACCCAGTTGATAAACCATCTAATTTAACCAAAAATCAGAACCTAAAGATCTACCCGAACCCTGACTGACTTTTCACCTCAAAATCTCACACAAAACACTCTTAGCTCTCCTTGATTTTGATCTCCAGAAAAGTCTACCTATTCATCCTTTTCATTATATACTTTATCTTGGGAAAAAATCCCAAAATACACACGTTTTATGAAAATTTATCAAAATACACTTGTTTGGGCATCACTGTGGCCGTCAACGGCAGATGAAAGTAGTGAATGCATCACCATGGTTGTCGGGCTGTGAATGCCTGACCTAACACTGAAACTTAAAACGAATGTAACTTTGCGGTCGGTTATACGATTGTAGCAATTTTTTTTAATTTCGCATAACTTTTTAAGAACTTTCAATCTGCAACAAGCCTTCATCCCAAAAAAATGTCGTTTGCTACCCCGAACAAGCAATTTTTCGAATTTGCCAAACTTTGGAAAGCCATAACTTTTTTCTCCTCAATCCGAACGTCATAACTTTTTTAAAAATACAACTTTTACTAGGAAAGAATTAAAAAAAAAGAAATTTTTTTGGGTATACGGGATTTTTGCAATGACTTTGCCTTTACTTTTCAAAAATCCACATACATTCCAAAATTATGGTTATGATAAAAGTTGTAGTCCTTCAAAAGTTATGCGAAATAAAAAAAAATTCATGACATTCGGATTACGAAGCACAAAGTTATGATCTTCCAAAATTTCTCGAAATTGAAAAATTGCTCGTTTGGGGTACCAAATGTAATTTTTTTGGGATGATGGCTTGTTACGGATTAAAATATATTGAAAAGTTATGTGGATTAAAAAAATTCGCTACAATCGGATAACCAAGCACAAAGTACGTTCGTTTGAAGTTTCACTATTAGGTTAGACATTTACCACGACCATCAACCGCGGTGATGCATTCACCATTTTCGTCTGCCGCGGTGAATGCATTCACTGCGGTTGACGACCGTAGTGATGCCCAAACATGTGTATCTTGAGAATTTTTCATAAAACGTGTGTATTTTGGAATTAAAAAAAAACATGTGTATTTTGGGATTTTTTCACTACATCTTATACCTCTTGCTCTGTTTCTCCTTCCTTGTTAAGAAGGTTTAATTGATTTGTGTTGGAAATATTCTTGACTTTTTTTCTGTTTCCATCAAGGTGACTGTTGTAATCAAAACTGTCACCTCTTGGTCTCTGTCAGCATAAGTATTGATCCTCGGGATGGGATTAGGTGCTAATCCTTATAGGGGTTAGCACCGTGATAACTAGCAAAAAACGCTACTAAAAATAACGAAATCACTACGGATTATTATAAAATCAATACAACATCTAAGCTAAATCACTACTAATTCAAACTAGTAGTAGTTTTTCCCTTGGTTAGGACGGTGCTAACTATTGTACAATTAGCACCGTAGCCGTTCCCATTGATCCTCTTGCCTTGTCATCCTTTGGTGAAATGAAATGTCATTGTCTACCTAGTATCAACAAAAAGTGGCAAAATTGCTATTGTCTTACTAATTTGTGAGGAACTTAATATAAATGGTAGTCAACTTTCTTATTGACTAGTTGGAGAATAACTGATGCGGGTCAACCCATAACTCAATCGCACCCATCCGCTCCCCACCCAAACCCCAAAGAAGAATATAGATAGATAACAATCTACATACCAACTAACTAGTAAGTGGATGGACCAATTTGAAACCAAACATCGCCCAACCCGCTTATTGGCCACCCTAACCGGAGTACCAGATCATCCATCTCACGGGCTACTCCCGGTTTACGTTTGCGTTGAATAAACTGCATTCCAGGCTGGGCTCATAACATAAAACATACACAGATAGGCTCAATAACCTTCTAAACCGGTCTTGGCCAATAAGCCCAATAAAAGGAATACTGCGGCCCAAACCTTTGTCTGCCTCCATCTCGGCCATTTCGCAATCCAGCCGCTTCTTTTTCTCACTCCCAAAGCACATACCGTCACCGATTGTGAGCTTGTGACCTTCCAAGGAAGAGTAAATTGCGCCTACTGCGCTCCATTTTTTCTTAATCCCTACTCACCGCCGATAGCTTCATGCCTCTCAAGGCGATCACTTCCCGGCATTCGCCATTGATTATTGGAACATCGTGGCTGATACATAAATTTAAAAAAATTCTCATGAAATGGCGCTGGATGGTAGCAGATGACCACCCTCTCATCATTCACTCGGCAACCTTTCAAGGTTCGAGACTTCGCAATCGCATCCATTACCAACCTTTGGTTTCACACTCAAGGTGGATCGCCTCGCCGGATAGGAAGGATTTAATAATGATAAAGAACCAAGAGGAAGAGGCTTGGTTTGTTAAACTCGCGTCGAAGCTCTTCTTCTTCTTCTTCTTCTTCTTCAATTCGCGTTCTCCGTCTTCCTCTTTGGCGTATCTTCGTGGGAAGTTGACCCCTTAGATTGTGTTCGAGGTGATTAAGAAGTTTGAGCACGACCCCGAAGTAGGGTTTAAGTTCTTGGAGTTTAGTAGGCCGAATTTGAGTTTAATTGACTGCGTTGGTACGTATAATTGGATGATAAGGTCATTTTGTCAAACTGGAATGCTTGATATGGCGGAAGTTTTGTATCATTACATGAGGAGAGATGGGTATTTGCCTCATGGTATCTTTCGTGGTTTATGGTAACTGAATTCGTTCGAGCTCGAAGATTTGATCTCACCAGTAGTTTACTCCCTGAGCTGAGGGGTTGGGTTTTCAGATTAGTGCATTTGTGTATAACAACCTGTTGAATGAACTGGTTAAGTCAAGAATCAAGTGCAGGAAGCTGTCATTTTGTTGAAAGGGTTTCTGGCATTGCAGTCTAGTCACGATACTTGGACTTTCAATATTCTTATCCGAGGTCTTTGTAGAGTAAGGGAGTTTGATAAAGCATTCAAGTTTTTGAACGATATGCAGAGCTTTGGTTGTTTTCCTGATATTCTTACTTAGGGGTCGTTAGGAAGTTGAGATTCTTCAAATATGTGTATTTGATGATACATCTATTATAAATACAAGGATTGTAAGAATAAGATGATTGGAAGAATGTCTTGTTTGGTTATAGCCATTCAAACATTTTAAAGAAAAGAAAAAATCACTTTATGAAGTGAAACAAATTAAAGCCAACAATCTCAAAGGAAGAATCTCACCTTTTTGTTGAGATTTAAAATGAGTGATTGTGGGTGATATGAGATTTGAGGGCCCACCTCAAATACATGTATTGAATAAAGTTTTGGAACAAAAAAACGATGGATTCTCCAGAATACATGAATTCAAAGAATCATTCATCTAGAATCATAACTTCCAAACAACCCCTAAGGGGCCGTGGGTTATTGGAGGAGCTTCAATCTAGAAATGACTGCTCCCCAAATATCGTCTCTTACACTTCAGTTATATCAGCGCTTTACAAATCAGGGCAGATGGAGAATGCTTATGGGTTCGTTTGGTTTTGGTGACAGTATAAATCAATGCATTGTGGTCAATGCATGCATTGTAAATACATGTAATTAAAGAAAATGATGTAATTTGCTTTACATTGTTTGGTTTTGGTGATAGTTTTTTAGTATTCAATATGTTATCTTACTTTTTGTGAGAAATATCACTTTTTCCCTTGTTTTTATGAGAACATATATATAACTAGGGGTATATTTGGAACAAAATATGAACCCAACAATCTCCTCAAAACTATCTCAACAATCTCAAGTTTTACTAGAGATAGTACGGTCACTCATTTTGAGTGATAGTTTTCATCACATCAAGCAAACAATGCATGTATTGTTTGTGCAGAAAATTCAAAAAAACCAATGCATTGTAGACAATACATGCATTGTAACTATCCCAACCAAACAATCACCAAAACCAAACAACCCCATATTCTTTTCTAGGAGATGATTAGAACTAGAGTTAAGCCTAGCTTAATCACTTTTAACATTCTAATTGATGGATATGGCAAGAACGGTGACATGGTTGCAGCAGAAGCCATCTATGAAAAGATGGGCCATTTCAGTTGCTCTCCTGATGTGGTTACCTTCACTTCCTTGATTGATGGTTATTGTCGAAGTGGACAAGTGAACTTGGGTTTGAAGCTTTGGGATGTGATGAGAGATATAAATATGATACCCAATGCTTACACATTGTCCATTCCTATTAATGCTCTTTGCAAAGAGAATAGACATCATGAGGCTCGTGGGTTTTTGAATGAGCTGAATTCTTATAACATCGTAGCACACCCATTCATTTATAATCCGGTTATTGATGGGTTTTGTAAGGTGGGAAATTTGGGATAAATTGCAAGATTGGTCACTGAGATTACAAAAAAGGTTCATGTTTAGTCACTATAAATATTTAATTTCATTTGTGGTCACTAAGTTTAGTAAAACAGTCCAAATTTGGTCACTCTCCTTTAGTTTCCGTTCGTCTCCGTTAACTAAGTCCGTTATTTGCTAACGTGGCTAACAGAATGGTCTAGTCAGCCTAATTTAACCCGAAAATGATAAAACCCTACCCGCCATGTAACCTTGTCCAGCCTAACCCTTGAACCAGTAAGCCCTATGAACCGGCCCACTCAAACAAAATAACTTTTATCCCATTTTTATTTCCATATCATTTATCCATCTTCTCTACTTTTTGTTCTTTTTTCTTCCCATATCTGATGCCCAGAACACCCAAAAAAAACCCCAAAATTCAAAATCCTGTTTCCCCAAACCCAATCCAGACGAGAATCTCACCCACTTCATTTTGTTAAACCCAATGTCGGCGACAATCTAGGCCACCGAATCCTGACGGCAATCCCATCTTTTCTTCTTCATCTATGGGGGGTTTTGGGTTTCTTCAGCGGCGTACATAAATGTGAGGAGAGGCGTTGACCAGACCATTGTTGTTATTCTTCCCACTCTCTATCGTTGCCCTCCACTCAACAACCAGCTCCCGATCCATAACTACCGCGAGCACCAGCCCCAAATCTCTCCACCAGGTAGATCTGAAATCCCGCTAATAAATGGCGATGTAGGCGACATCCTCCCCAGCAGGAACACGATTTTGGGTGATGTTCTTCTTTTCTTCGCCTTTTTTGAAGCTTCCAAGAAACCCAGATCCCAAAATCATTCAATGTGTTAGTGATGATTCGCGGTATCAAGCTGGCGAGCTCCCGACTCTCACCACCGCACGTCGAATCAAGATCCGACAATAATGTCTACGTACCAGATGCAGAGGTGAAAGGATGATGGGTGCTTCCTCTTTGGCTCAAAGCATCAAATGGAATAAATCGTTGCCGGAGTTGAGAGCAGTGGCATTCGATTCTTGATGGTTTCTCGATGAGAATGGCGCGGGAGCTCCGGGAAGTTTGTAGCATGGCAGCGAGTGCTCCACAAAGGCGCCAGCGGCGAGCTCCTCAATGACCGATCAATCCAGCCGCACAAGTTGAAAGCAGAGCAGGAGATGATGCAGGGGAAGTCGGTGGCGAATCGGGATCGTACGGTGGAGCTATTGCCAAAGAAATTGGCTGATTATATGGGCTTTGGGTTGGGTTATGTGTTGGGTTATAATTTATATGACGTGGCGGGTTTAGATGATGTGGCGGTCCGGGTTTCAATTTTTCATGGTTGAAATTGGCTTATTAGGCGAGTCTGTTAGCCATGTCAGCAAAAAACTGACGGTGCTAACGGAGACTAACGGAGAGTGACTAAATTTGGACTGTTTTACTAAATCTAGTGACCATGAATGGAATTAAATATTTTTAGTGACCAAACATGAACCTTTTTTGTAATTCTAGTGACCAACCTTGCAATTTACCCGGAAATTTGGATGAGGCGAATATCATTGTGGAAGAGATGGAAAAGAAGAAGTGTATTCCTAACAAAGTATGTTTACTATACTCATTGTTGGTCACTGTATGAAAGGTAGAATGGCTGATGCAATCGGTATTCTCAATAAGATGTTGACCATCGGTTGTACTCCAGATAGCATTATCATAAGTTCGTTGACGTCTTGCCTTTTGAAAGATGGGATGGCTAGTGAAGCGTTTCGAGTAAAGCACATGCTAGTGGAAGACCTCAACTTTTGGTGATCAAGTTGTCGGAAAATTAGCCCTATAGTTAGATATAGAGATATCTCTATGGCAGCTTGAGAAGATGGGCTGCAACCTGTAATTATACATTGAATTAGCTTATGGACCCTTTGATGAAACCTTGATCCTTCTACTAGATGCCCTTATTGGCATACAAATTCAGGAAGAGCAGGTACCTTTGTCCCATCTGTAAAACCTTTTTCACTTCGAGAAAGTAAATTTTGCAGTTTAGCATAATTCTCATTGTTGTTGATTCTGACTTCTTTAGGCATTTGGGTCTGTCTTTAACCTTTACATATATAGCGAGCTTATCATTGATGGCCATCTTTCTTTTTTTTTTGTTGATGATTAGACATTGATTGAGTATATATTCTGTGGATGGTGAACTGAACTGATTAACACACACGCTTTACACTCTGACGGTAGGCTACATTCTAGATCCTGTACTCAAGTCTGTCAAGGTTCGTGGGAGGATATGTTACACCCCGATCTTTATAAGGGTCAAAATGACTATTTTACCCTTGGTTTATCTTGTCAAGTTCCACCGTAGTATTGGTGAGGATTAAAAACGTGAAGTACTGGTTCGAACAGGGCCAAATTTCGATGTAAAACGACGAAGTTATGGACGTTGGTTGATTTCTTTAAGTTCGAACCAAGACCCAATTAGAAATCTGAGCCGAGTGGGTCTGGTTTTGGATTTGTGGGCTTCCAGGTGAGGAGGTTAAAACGAATTGGGCTTAAGCTCGTTATAAGAATTGATGAATAAGGTTGGCTTTGGGCCGGGAAAGAAAAGAAGAGGAGGTAATGGTGGCGGGCTAGTGGCCCGAGTTGAGAAGAGAGAAGGAGAAGAGGAGTGGGCTTAGCCCGCAACGAGGGAAGGAGAGGGGGATGGGCTGGCCTGCTGGCCCGGACGAATGAAGAAGGATGCAGGTCTTTGGCCCGAGTGAGAGAGAGTGGGGGAAAGGGCGGTGGCCCAAAAGAGGAAGAGGATTCACTCTCCTCTGGGCAAAGTCGACCGGCGCAGAAGGGAGGCGGAGCGGCGGTGAAGCAGAAGCGAAGCTCACCGGGAAAACGGATGTAACGGAAATATCTAAGTTGAGGCTTTTAATTGGGGGATTTAAGGATTTTATTGTCTAGAAAAGGGAATGGATTGGTTCCCTCATCAACAAAAACAGACGTGAGGAAAGAAGAGGGAGAGAGGCGAGAGAAACGAGCCGGGGAAACAGAGAATGAGTTGAGGAGAGGAGCACGGTGGTTGTCTCGCTGGTCTAGGCCCGAAATTGGAATGAAGAGGACGACGCGGTCCCTGAAGAGAGGAGGAAGGCGGGCGATCCGAGGACGTGCGAGGGGTCTCGAGAACGCAGCGGCGATGATGAATCTCGATGTTTACGTCGAAGTTCGCGTCAATCCCGGCGTCGGTAAGGGGATTAATGAAGCAGGGGAAACGGAGAGGATGCAGGTCTACCCTCCAAAACGACCAGGGGTGTTCGCGATCCGTCATTGGCCTCCGAACTGTGGGCTGAGGAGGGACGGTCGAGTTACCACCGGCGACGGCGGAGCTTTACTAGCGGCGACTTCCTGGGAGTTGCTGCCGGGGGAAGAGGAAGAGGAACCGTAGGAGTGCGACTGTTGTGGGTTCGAAGATGGCGAGAAGGACGACGGCGTCGGTGGCCGAAGCCGCAACGTCGACGGCGGCGACTGTGTGCAGGTGAGAGTTCTCCTGCTTTATTGGAATTCCATGGCATCAATTTGAAAATTTGATGAATAGTTAGGGGCGTACATGTCTTTTTGGAGTTGGGGCGATTTTGTAAACGTTTGGAAGTTTAGGCGCCGTAAAGTAATTGACCAGGCCTTGGGTGAGTTGGAAATTGGTAAATCTTTGGGTATCGGATTGGAAATAAGCCGTTTGGACTAAAATGTTTAAATTAGAAAGTGGAAATTGGTGTGGAGGACTGAATTGAGCAATTCTGGAAATTTGGGGCCGAATTGGTAAGACCCAGGGATTTTGGAGTACCATTTGGTAATTTGCTATTTTGGGGCAAAAAGGTAATTTTCCAGAATTTCATGGGGAATTCTATGAAAGGTTAAATGAAGGAAATTGGGATTGGAATCAACCAAATTTGAGGTCGTTTGATTGGTTACGCTTGTGGAAAGGAATATTAAGTTTTGCCTAAATACTTAATAGGAGAATTTGCAAAAGGAGATGATTGAGCGTGGAGTCTCGAACGATGGCATGGATCAACCGGCAATAAAGAGGGGTCGTTTTGATCGATCAGGGTCGGCTAATAAGGTGAGTGTAAAGGGGGTAAAATCTCCGTCGAGGTCTTTTAGTTTATGCCTTTTTAATTCAGTTATGTTATTTAATTTTCAAGTAAGCGCGATTATGTGTGTGAGGCATCCCACCGCCTGTAAGGGTGGAGGCACGCGCTGTGCTACGTATGTGTGTGTTTATGATGTATGGATTGATGGTAATTGAACCCCCGGGCGGTTGGGCCACTACTGGACGCGGTAGATGGTCGGGTCACTACTGGACGGCGATACGTAACGCAGTAGCTGACCGGGCATGGACTGGACGGTGATACGTAACGCAGTACCATTGCCTTGAGGATAGGGACACCGGATGGCGATACGTAACGTGGTGATTCCCTAGTAATAAGTATATAAGTTAAGGTAGTAGTAGAGAACTTTTATGATTTAAGGATAAAAGTTGAGAACCTCTATGAGTTAAAGTTGAAATGAGTTGTTAAGGACGAAAGTGAGAACGACTTTCATCTAAGGAAAGGAAACGCTAATAACGTGTTTAAGTAAGGAGATTCCTAAGGGAAGAGACCGTAGGAGGTAACGACGAGACTGACCCCTTCTCACTCACCAGGTTGAGGAAGGGATAGCAGAGGTGAATCCCGAGAAGAAGGAGTAAGACAGGGCAAGCTGTCACACCAGTATGGACGAGACCTCAGGGAATCAACAAGGAGTTAGTGCCATAGTTAATTTCGTTGTTTGGTTCATGATTATGAGTTTATGTACTGGAGATTCAAGGTTCAATATGCTGGGTTAAGTTGTTTAAGTATTTGGATTTTTATTGCCCAAGTGTTAGGGCTTTTCATTTGAACTTCTTAAATAATGTCAGTTTGTTTATTTAGAAAGTGGGTTGGTTACTCCGGAGTAACCGGTTTTCGGTTTGAGTTATGGTTTGGTTTTTTGAAAAAGATCGGGACGTTACATTTTGGTATCAGAGCCTGCACTCCTCTGTTTCTTGGTCTCCAAGGAATACTGGAGTGACGATCTGAGTTTTTCAAGGTTTCATTTTTTTAAGGAACGGGAAAAGGATTTCAGATTTATTGTTTGGCCAAGCGAGTCAAGGGTCTTTTAAGGATTTTTAGAATATCCAGTATACTGTAATCATGACTAGGAGCTAACTCTATTTGGCCAGCGTGGTGATGACATGTGTCAGAAAAGGGAAATAGCAATTTCCTAAGAGGTTTGTTTTGGTGCAAACTTTGACATGAGTGTTAAAAGGGGGTTCAAGGAGTCCGGCGACAAGTGTTGGAAAAGAGGAGTCATTCAACGAAATAGACGAGGTAAGGAACGAGGCTTGGGGAAGTCACGATGGACAAATTTTGAGATCGAAATTTCTCTTAAGGAGGGGTGAAAGAAGGGGGAACCCCTGTAATTAGTTGGAATTAGGGGGAGCTAAGAGCTGGAGTCTTGGAACTAGCTATAGAAGTAAACCATTCAACCAACCAAGTTTAGACAAGCAACTAGAATGTTCATTGGAAGTTCTAATATATGTCAGAGAATTCGAGGAGTCTCAGCAGGCGTGATAAAGAGAATTTGCGTGCAATACCAGTAAAGAGAAAGAAGGCTAGAGGAACTTTGACGAGATTTCAAGAAGTTAATAGGTCAAGTGTCAGGTGGGACGTGCAAGTTTCTTTGTGAGACTTTATTGCTAAAATCGCTTAATGATTGATTAGCAATCTAGAAGTAGTACTGGACTTTGGGAAGCCGAAATGCCATGACTGTGAAATGGCAGTAGAGATATCATAGATTGTATGAAGTCCAGGAAGGACACGGAAGTTCTTGATAAAGGAGTGGGAATATGTGTAAGCGACTCGAGTTCAAGGAGTGTGTGTGGAGGAAAATAGTTAGGAATGGTCGAAACAGGAATACAAAAGACTACAAAAGAAAAGCATTAGGTTGACTACCAGCGGGGAACAAGGGATCCATAGGAACTCCATCAAGAAATCTCGGTCAATTTCAAGGTGGAATCAAGGTCGTCGAGAATAGTCGAAGGGAGAACCTTATGGGTCAAGGTAGCTAATATTCTATGGGGGTGTGAGCTGATCAGAATAAGGTTCTGGAAGGAGCCAAGCGGTTAGTACATCAACTGGCAGAGCCAAGGAGTTATGGCAAATGTCGCCATAATCGAGAGGAAAGGGTGCAAGGAAGGGTCGTGGAGTTCATGAGAATTGAACATAGGGCTACAACCCCAAGGAGCAGCTGAAAGTTAGACTTTGAAAAATACTAAGGCCACCTAAGCAAGCAAAGGAAGGAATGAGTATATCATGGGCAGCCTAACAAGATGTCAGGGGATCAATACATCAAGGCTAGAAGGAGGTGCAACTCCTTGAAAGAGATCATCACAAGTGAAACTTGGAGTCGTCACCTCGAACAAATTTCGAGGTCGAAATTTTTCTTAAGGAGGGGGGGGGGGGAAATGTGATGTCTCGATTTTTTGGATTTAGGTTCAACATCAACTACCAGGAGAATTGGATCAACAGGACAAGCCGAATTGGCATTTTGTTTCACCATGTTTGGATCAAGCTGGGGAGTAAAAAGGGTAGTGAGACACTTATGGTTACACGAGTGCTGCAAGCTAAGAAAACTTATTTGAGCAAAAGGTACCAACGAAGTTGTTATAGTAAAAATAGATGATTGTGGGAAGGAAGTATAAGAAGGGTGTTGGTAGAGGGGTGAGTTCCGAGCAAATTTCGGGGACGAAATTTTTATAAGGGTGGAGGAAATGTTACACCCCGATCTTTATAAGGGTCAAAATGACTATTTTACCCTTGGTTTATCTTGTCAAGTTCCACCGTAGTATTGGTGAGGATTAAAAACGTGAAGTACTGGTTCGAACGGGGCCGAATTTCGATGTAAAACGACGAAGTTATGGACGTTGGTTGATTTCTTTAAGTTCGAACCAAGACCCAATTAGAAATCTGAGCAGAGTGGGTCTGGTTTTGGATTTGTGGGCTTCCAGGTGAGGAGGTTAAAACGAATTGGGCTTAAGCCCGTTATAAGAATTGATGAAGAAGGTTGGCTTTGGGCCGGGAAAGAAAAGAAGAGGAGGTAATGGTGGCGGGCTAGTGGCCCGAGTTGAGAAGAGAGAAGGAGAAGAGGAGTGGTCTTAGCCCGAAACGAGGAAAGGAGAGGGGGATGGGCTTGCCTGCCGGCCTGGACGAATGAAGAAGGATGCAGGTCTTTGGCCCGAGTGAGAGAGAGTGGGGGAAAGGGCGGTGGCCCAAAAGAGGAAGAGGATTCACTCTCCTCTAGGCAAAGTCGACCGGCGCAGAAGGGAGGTGGAGCGGCGGTGAAGCGGAAGCGAAGCTCACCGGGAAAACGGATGTAACGGAAATATCTAAGTTGAGGCTTTTAATTGGGGATTTAAGGATTTTGTTGTCTAGAAAAGGGAATGGATTGGTTCCCTCATCAACAAAAACAAACGCGAGGAAAGAAGAGTGAGAGAGGCGAGAGAAACGAGCTGGAGAAGCAGAGAACGAGTTGAGGAGAGGAGCTCAGTGGTTGTCTCGTTGGTCTAGACCCGAAATTGGAATGAAGAGGACGACGCGGTCCCTGAAGAGAGGAGGAAGGTGAGCAATCCGAGGACATGCGAGGGGTCTCGGGATCGCAGCGGCGACGATGAATCTCGATGTTGACGTCGAAGTTTGCGTCGATCCCGGCGTCGGTAAGGGGATTAATGAAGCAGGGGAAACGGAGAGGATCCAGGTCTACCCTCCGAAACGACCAGGGGTGTTCGCGATCCGTCATTGGCCTCCGAACTGTGGGCCGAGGAGGGACGGTCGAGTTACCACCGGCGACGGTGGAGCTTTACTAGCGGCGACTTCCTGGGAGTTGCTGCCGGGGGAAGAGGAAGAGGAACCGGAGGAGTGCGACTGTTGTGGGTTCGAAGATGGCGAGAAGGACGACGGCGTCGGTGGCCGAAGCCGCAACGTCGACGGCGGCGACGGTGTGCAGGTGAGAGTTCTCCTGCTTTATTGGAATTCCATGGCATCAATTTGAAAATTTGATGAATAGTTAGGGGCATACATGTCTTTTTGGAGTTGGGGCGATTTTGTAAACGTTTCGAAGTTTAGGCGCCGTAAAGTAATTGACCAGGCCTTGGGTGAGTTGGAAATTGGTAAATCTTTGGGTATCGGATTGGAAATAAGCAGTTTGGACTAAAATGTTTAAATCAGAAAGTGGAAATTGGTGTGGAGGACTGAATTGAGCAATTCTGGAAATTTGGGGCCGAATTGGTAAGACCCAGGGATTTAGAGTACCATTTGGTAATTTGCTATTTTGCGGCAAAAAGGTAATTTTCCAGAATTTCATGGGGAATTCTATGAAAGGTTAAATGAAGGAAATTGGGATTGGAATCAACCAAATTTGAGGTCGTTTGATTGGTTACGCTTGTGGAAAGGAGTATTAAGTTTTGCCTAAATACTTAATAGGAGAATTTGCAAAAGGAGATGATTGAGCGTGGAGTCTCGGACGATGGCATGGATCAACCGGCAATAAAGAGGGGTCGTTTTGATCGATCAGGGTCGGCTAATAAGGTGAGTGTAAAGGGGGTAAAATCTCCATCGAGGTCTTTTAGTTTATGCCTTTTTAATTCAGTTATGTTATTTAATTTTCAAGTAAGCGCGATTATGTGTGTGAGGCATCCCACCGCCTGTAAGGGTGGAGGCACGCGTTGTGCTATGTATGTGTGTGTTTATGATGTATGGATTGATGGTAATTGAACCCCCGGGCGGTTGGGCCACTACTGGACGCGGTAGATGGTCGGGTCACTACTGGACGGCGATACGTAACGCAGTAGTTGACCGGGCATGGACTGGATGGCAATACGTAACGCAGTACCATTGCCTTGAGGATAGGGACACCGGATGGCGATACGTAACGCGGTGATTCCCTAGTAATAAGTATATAAGTTAAGGTAGTAGTAGAGAACTTCTATGATTTAAGGATAAAAGTTGAGAACCTCTATGAGTTAAAGTTGAAATGAGTTGTTAAGGACGAAAGTGAGAACGACTTTCATCTAAGGAAAGAAAACGCTAATAACGTGTTTAAGTAAGGAGATTCCTAAGGGAAGAGACCGTAGGAGGTAACGACGAGACTGACCCCTTCTCACTCACTAGGTTGAGGAAGGGATAGCAGAGGTGAATCCCGAGAAGAAGGAGTAAGACAGGGCAAGCTGTCACACCAGCATGGACGAGACCTCAGGGAATCAGCAAGGAGTTAGTGCCATAGTTAATTTCGTTGTTTGGTTCATGATTATGAGTTTATGTACTGGAGATTCAAGGTTCAAGATGCTGAGTTAAGTTGTTTAAGTATTTGGATTTTTATTGCCCAAGTGTTAGGGCTTTTCGTTTGAACTTCTTAAATAATGCCAGTTTGTTTATTTAGAAAGTGGGTTGGTTACTCCGGAGTAACCGGTTTTCGGTTTGATTTATGGTTTGGTTTTTTGAAAAAGGTCGGGACGTTACAGGATACTGTGACCGTCATGTAGAAATGTTTCTGCACTATCAAGCATGCAACTAATATTTTCAATCTGAAGTTGGCCAGCAATGGACGAAGGGTCCACAGGTTTCCTAACTCATGGCATGGCCTTTCTTCTGTCCAACAGTTGCAAAAGGTGACTGGTGCATTCTTCTACCAACTTCTCGACCTTTTTTTCTAAGCTTTGTTTGAATGTTAGATTGCTGGCCTAGTTATTTGAACATGTTGAGCTTATGTTATTTATAACACCTAAATTGGTGTTATATCCTCTTCATATTGAGGTTTGTTTCGTGCCAATTCATGTGTATAAATGCTTAAACATAGTCAATTGCATCCCTATTCCGTTCCTATTTGAATTCGATATGATTTTAGAATGTGTTAGACGATATATGCGAATTAGGTACAAAACAATGTCACAAGTGTAGCAAGGGGACAGAAGACTGAAGTTCGTGGCCTAGAAGTAAAGATCAAGGCCGATATCCTGGACCGTGAAGTTAAGATGCAGATCGCGGCCTGGAAGCCCAAGATCTCGGCTGCGAATCGAAGGCCTTAGGGCATGAACTTCGCGAAGAAGGAGTCGGGAGAAACAAAGAGTTTTCCCTGTCGAATCATGGCCACATCGCATTTTGACCGCGAGGAAGAACGCGACCGAAAGTCAGCCCGCAATGTCCTCAATTTCGAAGGCTAGTAAGACTGCGTTTCAAGATCGCGGCCTCACATATGAAGATCCCGCCCGTGATCTCTGCCCTTCTGGCTGCGAACTTGTCTATCCTATGATTGTCTATAAATAGGTGACCCCTTTCCCCCTTTTAGATGAGCTGATTTTGAGAGAAGAATTTCTGGTTTTAGGGAGATAAGAGAAATGAAGCTGAAGGAAGGAGAAGAGGAGAAGGATCTGGAAGAGAGGAGACATCTTCCTCAACCTCAAGTCTTCTTCAATTTCTTCTATGTATCTTCTTCCCTCATTTATGGAGTAGTCTTCTAAAGTACTAGGGGTTCTAAACTCCAAACTCTAGTTTTATGGTTTACTATGTATGTATGGATACTTTAGGGTTTGAATGAATATGTTTATCTAGTTGATTCTATTGATATTCTATCTTTGATTGTGTTTGGGTAAGTCTCCCTAATCTTCTCTATTAGCCTACTTTATGCTTCTGTGTTGGGTATGGAGTTATAGGGTTAGAAGAGTATGTGCCATCAAGCAAATCAAGGTAGATGTATGAGTAGGGACCTATGGTGATCGAGGCGACCGAACCCCTGCTATAGGTAGCCTTCATAGATAGAACCCGAGATAAAATCTCAGTGTGGACGGTAGATAGTATCTATTGAAAGGAGATACGAGCTTAGTGCCCCAGGTACGATAGCCTAGATCGAGGTGACTTTATATGGGTATATGGGTGGCGTACTCGAGGTGTGTGGATAACTACGAAAGCCCATGGAATCGAGCTCACTCTCCACATTCGATAACCCTAAGTATCTAGATATACATAGTATCCCTAGGCTATGGAGAGTGATAGTTCTCCGAAGTACATGCTTTTAGCTTTATTCAATCTCTAAACTAGTAATTCCCTCAAATCCTCCACTCAAACTTCCAAAATGATTAACTAATTAACAATAAGATGGGAAGTAGGCTAGGGTACCAGGACCCGAGTAAAATGCGTCTTTGATTATCACTATACGACAATGCCATCTTAGGTTAAACTCGAATTAGGATGGGGTAGTTGTTGACACGTGCTAAACATTGACAATTATATGCACGGATTCAAGTGATCAAGCTTTTTGGTACCGTTGTCGGGGACCCTTGGTGACTAGTATAAAACCACTAAGTTGTTAGTTAGTTTTTACATTGTTTTGTTTGTTTGTCTTGTTTTGCGTTCTTGTTTGTGTTGTTATTTTCATGTTGTTTTGTTTTGTGTTTTCGTTATGTTCGTTTTTGTTTTGTTGTTTGTTTTTTTTTCCAACTTCGTACGTCACAGGTTGTTCAGGTTGTGTTTTGTAGCACCTTTTATGCGAAGAAGAAATTCTTTGGAGATATTACCTCTTGATACACAAATAGAGAGAACCCTACGAAATCTTAGAAGAGTTGCAAGATGTTAATCTCCACCAATGGCGGATCATCAAGCTCAAGTTCCGCCAGCCAAGAACAATAGGATGCGGGTCATATGGGTGACCCGCAATCCACCCACATCAATCACCCACTGCTTGCGGGTCGGATAATTTGCGGATGGATCAATATCAATCCGCGGATTAACCACCCACGTACCCACCCTAGTCAACACCCAATAGTTCAATTGCCTACAACTGTCTCCCTATAAGCTTGCAGTTTAGATACTTTTAGGGTTTTTTAATTTATTAGTTTTTTATGATATAAAATGACTAAGTAGTACTTTGAAAATAAATTTTATTCTAGCCATTAAATTGTTCAATTATTAAGTTATATCTCTTTTACTTATGATATTATATTATTTATATCATACCGGTTTTCTAATAATTTTTTAACGGTTTAATACCGATTGGATCAATTAAGTGCGAGCCGTTTACATTGTCAGGTCTGGTTCGATTCTCACTAACACGGGTGAATTCTGGCTTTACTATATTAAGGAGACCTAGCAAGTCCATCCAAACAGATGGTTAAGAAATAAAAAAAGATGAGAAGCCCGCGCATTGACTTCTGCTGCATTGACTCTATGGCGCCGGCCAACGAAGGTGTTAGCATTTCTAACTTTCAATCGGGTGCTTTGACTTGCAGTAATGGAGATTGCTCTTTGATTCTCGGACACACGAAGCGAGTGAACTTCGATTAGTCCATAATCAGCAAGTTTTTGGCCCCCCTTTTACGAGAATAGATAAGGTTGATCTGAGAGCTGAAAGACGGGATTCCGGGAGGGATTTCTGGTTCGGAAGAAAGAGAGCAGCTGCCTCTCGGCTTAAATAATCAGCGACCTTTCAAGAACGAGGAGCAGCTTCCCCGGCGAATTCATATGTTGGAATTTCAACTCTTATACTGAAAGGGAAGTAATTCTTTTCCTTGTGGGATTTTTCTTTGCGTGTAAGAGCAGCGAGTTTGAGCTTTTTCAATGGCGTTCTCAACCTCATGGTCGCAATACAACTACCATGTTTTCCTAAGCTTGAGAGGCAAAGACACAGGGAAAGGATTCGGCGACCATCTCTACACAGCTTTAGAGCAAGCGGGATTCCACACGTTCAGAGACGACGATGAGATAGTGCGGAGAGAGGAGCTCGACATCGAGCTCCAGAAGGCGATGCAAGAGTCGAAACTGTTCCTGGTTGTGTTCTCCAAGGACTTCGCGTCTTCAACGTGGTGTCTCGATCAGCTTGTGAAAATTATGGACCTCAGGAGAAGATCTTTCCCGCATCACATAGTTGTTATGCCTGTGTTCTATGTTGATCCGATGCTGGTTTCTGATCAGGCTGATAGTTATGCTGCTGCATTTGCTAGTCATGAGGAGAACTCCAAGGAGAAGGCCGAGATTTGGAGGGCGGCTCTTCGAGAAGTTTCGGATTTGGGTGGAATGGTTTTGCAGGATGGGTAATTTCCCTAAGCCTTTTTTCATTAATGGCTACATATCACATGGGAAGAATTTTAGTTGCATGCTTCTATCATGAACCCAGGGTATGAAGTTGGACTTATGGATAATGAGATTGATTCAATATCAGAAGGAAAGGTTTTGAGATCCTATGTTAGCAGCCCTTTTCTTAGTACTTAGCGAGCCAAAAGAATCCACATTTTATCCTATTCCTATAAGCTTAACATACTCAAGACAAGTAAAAGCTTCATGAGATTCTAACTGTAGTGTGTTGTTAATCTTCGATGTATCAGGTATCAGGCTGAGTTTGTACAAGACATAGTGAAAGAAGTCCGAAAGAAATTGAACCGCCCAATTGTACACACTCCCTCCCACTTAATCGGAATAGAGTCTCGTTTAGCTGACATTGATTTGTGGTTACAAGACAGCTCAAGTGTTCCAATCGGAATAATCTATGGAATTGGAGGTGTTGGGAAAACAACGATTGCAAAGGAAGTCTTTAACCTGAGCTTAGACAGATTCGAAGCTAGTTGCTTCCTCCCAAACATCAGAGAGACCTCGAAGCAACCCAATGGTATGGTTTTCTTGCAGAAGCAACTTCTCAACACAGTTCTGTATGATAAAAATGTGAAGGTGAATAATGAAGCTGATGGGAGTAACAAGATCAAAGATGCAATAGGTTGCAGAAGGGTTCTAATTGTTTTGGATGATGTTGGTCATTTGGAACAAGTGAACATGATCGTTGCAACCTGGGACTGGCTGTATAAGGGTAGTAAGATCATCATAACAACTCGGCACAAACGTTTGCTCAAGGATGATAAAATATGCAGAAAGTTTAGGATTGAGGAATTGGGTGACGATGAATCATTGCAGCTCTTTAGGCAACACGTCTTTGGGAAATCCAACCCTAACGACGGATTCATGGAGCATTCTTTAAGGGCAGTGAAGTATTGCTGTGGGATTCCTCTTGCCCTTCGAGAATGGGGTACCTTTCTTTCTGATATAGATATATCTGAGTGGAACAATGCTTTGGATAAATTGGAAGCAATTCTTCACAATGGAATCTTTAAAGTTCTCAGGGTGAGCTATGATTCTCTAAAGGATGACTTGGGCAGAAGGTTGTTCCTGCACATAGCTTGTTTCTTCATTGGGATGGAGAGCGATTATGTGACAAAGATTTTAGATGGATGTGAGCTGTTTGCAAAAGCTGGGATTCAAGATCTTGTTGACAGGTTTCTGTTGACCATTGGCGAGGATAACAGGCTTATTATGCATCCATTGCTCAGAGATATGGCGAGGGAAATTGTTCGTCAAGAATCGCCAGATGATCCTGGGAGACGTAGCAGGCTCTGGTCTCATGATGATTCCATCAGTGTGCTGAGAGAAAACACGGTATGAGTATATTTTTGTGCATCCTTGGCACCTTTCTCATTTTTCATCAGTCATTGAAGTTTGATGTTTTATGAACTTGTCGGTGAAGTTTTGAAATACCTAACGTAACAATCACTTTTTTCAATTTTCACAGTTTTTGTATTTATCTAAGATATTGATAAAAAGGTCAAGTAGATCCACTGATTAACTATCAACTATTGTGTAGGGGAGGAAGTCAGGAAGAGACTAGGGTGGTTGATGGCAATGTGGGTTGGGATTGGGTCAGGCAATGAGTTTGGATTAAATTGGGTTTTGTCTGTGCTAGCTAACTATGGTCTACATGGTGTCGTTTTATTATTTATCCATCATAAACACACGTGAATCTGGACAGTCTGGATTAGAACACTTGATGAAGTGACTATTATTGTTAGTTATTCGAAACTTCATTTTCAAGTTTGTTAAAAATCGAAATTCAGTAACCAATTGACTAGTGACCACAGCATTAGCGATCATTGATCCCCTTTTATATGGAAATGGTATGTTATCATGCAGGGCACAGAAGCAATTAGAGGCATCATTCTCAATATCCAGGGTCCTATGACCGAAGGCAAACATCACACAGATCCTTGCACCAGTTGCGGGAAAAGACATTCCTACGATGATGGTCTCATCTGCAAATCTACATCAAAGAGGCGTGTTCTTGGCTTCATTCGAGGACAGTCGGTCGATACTGACTGTACAACTTCATTCTCTATGTCTCATGAGTTTGAGATGAAAGCACTTCAAAAGATGCGCAATTTGCAGTTGCTCCAGCTCAACTATGCGAAGCTGAAGGGAAACTACAAATATCTTCCTCGGAGTTTAATATGGCTTTCTTGGCATGGATCGCCATTGAAATGCATGCCATCATGTCTACACTTGGAGAAGCTTGTTGTTCTTGATATGCAAAGAAGCAGTTTAAAGCATATTTGGCATGGCACCAAGGTATTGACCCTAGGTGATATGAATATTTTAATAGGTGTTTTGAAAGCTTATGATTTCACGATTCGACCTTACAATTACTATGACTGTCCAGTGGTCTGTTTTTAAAGAAAATATCAAATTTGACAACCATCGATTGTATAGACTGAATTCTTAATTGTTTCAAACAGTTTCTTCCAGCATTGAAGATCCTTGATATCAGCGCCTGCCATAGTCTCATAACGACCCCTGACTTCTCAGGACTGCCTTGTCTTGAACAATTAGTGCTGGTGGACTGCATAAATTTGACCGAGGTCAATGAATCGATAGGGAAGGTTGAGAAACTTGTTTCGTTGAACCTTAAAGGGTGTAGAAAGCTCAGGAAACTTCCGTCGACTGTTCTCATGCTGAGACAGCTGAAAGTAATTGTTCTTTCTGGCTGTTTGAAGCTTGATGAGCTACCCCACGGGCTAGATAAAATGGAATCACTCAAAGTGCTCCAAGCTGATGGTGTAGCTCTATAGGGATTGCGGTCAAGGTCATCTTGTTGTTCCACCTTTTGGGGTTCGTTATTTCTGAGAAATGATGCGTTAGGCTTGTATACTGGAGTTCCTTTGTTTGAGCTCCTTCTCCTGGATGAATGCAGCTTTCTCCAATCACTTCCAGAGCTTCCAGCAAGTTTTTCAGGGTAAAATTTGAACTTTGCCAAAGTTGATGAGATCAATGAGGTTAAGCTGCAAGCAACAGATCGAGATATAAGTTCTTCGATCTAGAGGATGTTATAAACCTTCATGTTGAAATCAGGAAGAGTTTAGACTTCTTCAACTTTACATCTGCGAAGCATTGAAGTGGAGCTGACCAATTATTTGACCTCAACATTAAGGAAGCATGCACTTCAGGTACTTTCTTTTTACTTGTTTCGCATCTATCACTTCTTTCAAAATTTCACTGCAGTTCCTTTCTTCGCTTATTTATTCCCTAAAGTATGAGAGGAATGGTACAGTTTTTGCATGATTGGGCCATGTTTAAAACTTTTTTCCCAACACTGCAGCCATGATCATGGTTATTCAGTCCATCACAAAAATCCAAGTATTGCTGGGATTAACGTTAGTTGTTATCATCACTTGTTTGAGCATTGTTAAGACAGTAATGACGTGCAGGCTGTGCTCGTCGAAGGTTGCAAGATACTGTTTGGTGAGGTCATAGAATTCTATGGGCTGTTGGATGTACAATTTGGCTCATGGGTTTTAGCCCAAAAACCATGGGTGGAGGGTTGCTTCAAAAATTCATGTTGGCGGAGCAAACAAAAACGTACCAGGTCCTTTTGGAATTGGAAATCCATAAAGGTGTCGAACCCCATCCCCTCAGATTGTCTATTATACTGTTGAAATCCATGGATATCACACCATCCATTATTTTTCTTACATCAAGCAGATCATCGACTTGCAAGAGCCAATTACTCCTGTTGTGAACTTTCTTGGTAAGATAGGAATTGTTTATTCCGTCATCTATAGATGCATGGAAAATGGAAGATTGCTCGACAATGAAGATATAAATTCCACATTACTTTATTGTTCACACTTTGAACCATAGAAACTTATTTCTATCACAATATGACAACCTTTTGGGAAAAGCCTGTAAGCACAATAATAGGTACGCAAAATAGCTTGCTGAAAATACACAAACACACACGAGTAGTAGCTACTGAGCCGAAGAACAACTTTAGGTAGATCATGAAGCCACTGATGGATCAATAGAGAGAGCTACCTAACTTCTCTGTTTCAAATTATCTTCCTGTTGCATATGGTCTGGGTGAAAACTTGAAATTTCCATACCTTCTCGCAGCTTCATGGGTGTCCATGGTTTTCACATATCCTGGCTCGTTAGTCCTTGTGGTGTAAGGATTGTAGGCTTCAGTTGGATCAGCAGACCATGCTGAAGTAGCACCTCTTTTAGGCCACCCGTTCTCATGGGTTGCCTCCATCTTGCTATAGTTGTATTCTGTATAGGCTGGTTTGATAGCTTCTTTGAGGTAACCTATCGCTGTGCCGATATTATTTGTTGCACCAGAGAGCGAGGAATCAGGCTGTGAGGATTTTCCACCATTAAAAGGTCCAAACTTTTGTGTGCTACTGACCTCATGATGCACTTTGGTGATGATCTCCTCAACTTTCTGCAGGCGATCGTAAACGGAGTCTGAAGTTTCATGCAATTTCTGCTCAACTCTGTAGTGCTCCGCATTAGCAGGCTCCATGGATTGACCATGCCTGTTCTCCGAGGGGTGAGCATGCTGCTGCTGCTGATACATGGTCTCAGCTCTGTAGGCTTCTGCAGTCTGGTTGGGAAGAGATACGATCGGCCTTTTCCTCCCTTCAGCATCAATGGTCACTGGCTTGTGAACATGATCAGCAGGGTAGCTACTTGGTTCCCTCCATTCATCAGCTCGTGGGCTGCTGTAAGTTGTGTAGCCTCCTCCCGTTGGCCTTTTCCTCCCTTCAGCATCAATGACGACCGGCCTGTGAACGTGATCAGAAGAGTAGCTACTTGGTTCCCTCCATTCGTCGGCCTTTGGGCTGCTATAAGTTGTGTAGCCTCCTTCAATAGGCCTTTTCCTCCCTTCAGCATCAATGATCACCGGCCTGTGAACATGATCCGAAGAGTAGCTACTTGGTTCCTTCCATTCGTTGGCTCGTGGTGTGCTGGAAGTTGTGTATCCTCCTTTGTAAGTATTGCCATACCCTGCCATGTTGTGTATAAGCTGAGATGAAATTCTTTGTATACACCCCTTGTTATATAGCCAAGGAAACTTACAAATGCAAAGGAAATGATGCCCATCTTTTTTAGCACATCAAAGAGATCATATGCTGTTTACCATCTGGAGAAGGTCCGATAGGATTGAATTCTACGCGTTTTGGCCATGGAATCATTCTTTAGTCTGCAGGAACCCCTGGAATATTTGATAGTGTCCGTTAATTACTGGAAGAATAAAGGTGAAAGAGAAATGGTGGAAGAATGACAACAGCTAAAGATAAGCAGCACAAAGAATTAGAATCTCTCTTTAGCCTTCGAACTTGAAAACATTAAGTAAGCCTGGTTTCAACTCTGGGGAAAAGTTCAGAGAATCTATTTTTCTTTTTCTCTGGATTGAGACTTCCATTTTCAACTTAACAGTTGGAGTTTCCTCTTAAAACACAATATGTGTCTGCTTTTGATTTCCTACTAGAAATAATACCCGCGGCTACACCGTCTGACTTGTTTAGTAGAGGGCACAATTAGTCAATTGGAATTTTAATTGACCTTCAAGTTCATTGATTTGGTCTTGCTTCTCCAATGTTTTAATCTTAATGTTATTATGGTTGTTCTTTCATCTTCTGATCTGATCTCCTTAGCTGTGATTCAAGTTTTGTGGCAGTAGGCAAATGCTCAGGAAAAAAGATTGGTCTAACCATAAAATTATAATTCGATGCACGTGTTAAGAACCCATTGATTAATAAACTAGGACAACAAAGCACTATCATATTCTTAACAAAATAATGATTAATAACTGGTGAATCCCTTTGTAAACTACTCATCTTCTTAGTAATAAACAATACAGCAAGAAGACATAAAGAACATTGGATGATAAGCCGAGGAATATAAATTCATAAGCACCGCAGAGGAGTTTCATGGACATGAAATTTAGTTCAAATGATGAATTAAACTTGATGGTGTGCTTTAGGCAAAGTTACTTTAGGCTGCACACCACCTGGTACTACTAAACATTCAATAGCAAACCTATACAACATAGTTCTACTGAAGTGAATAATATTGAAAGTGTTCGTCCTTTGTATTAATGGTGATATAGAAGATTATTAGGAAACCAGAAACACTGAAGAGTTTCTAAATACTAACTATAATCAGGCTAATAAAAGGTAGTAGCAAAACAATGAAGGAAATACATCAAAAGAAATGCAAGCTCCACCTCCTACCCATGCTCTGTAAGTGTAGTTCATTCAAATTCATACCTTCTTCACACTAAGAAGACCCACTTAACAGATCTCCGTATATTACTGCACATGTCACTCCATTTCCACCACGAAATGCAGAATGGTAGCAGCACCTTATCAAGAGAGGATAAAGGCATCATATGATCTTCAGTCCAACACTAAAGTCTCTTTATCTTGGAAATATCTCCCAAACATCTGCTTTTGCAATCTTATAAATATGTTATTTTCCTTCTGAAGGCTCCATACTAAAACCCCTGCAGCTTCTGGTATATTTGTCGCTGTATTAAACACTCCATACAGTCTTTGGCCACCAAATGATATAATTCAAAACTGTTGAAATTCAATTGAACTTCGAAAGTGTTTGTCCTTGCAAGTGAAAGAAGCATTTTAAGTAAAACTATAAATGCATTGTATAAAGCACCGATACGTATCCTATAAGCATGAAAAGTTCATGATTTAGAGCAACCAAATACAGCAGTGCATGATCAATTAGGTTTAATTATTTTTGTTGCATTAGCTTTGTAGGAAGTGACTATCAGTAACTTCTCCACATTGATAAGCCTGAGATAAAGCAAGGATTAGCAGTAGTAGCTAGTTTAGGCTACTTGATAATAATTTGGCCAAAGATAAAGCCAAGCTTAAAATTGTTCCACTACCCACATGTAGCCATACCTACTGCTCTGATCTAGATCCTTAAGGTTTTCAATTGAGTTCCAAGGCAAAAGTCTTCACCTAAAGAATCAAACAGAAAGAAATGAGTAAGAAGCTAAGTAGAATTCAAGGAAGTAAAATCTGAATTGGATATGTCTATCTTGGGGGGAAAACAAAGAAATTAAAAGAAATACTCTCCTTGTTCTTCCTCTAGAACTCCTGGACGAAATGATTTACCAATCTGTTGTCAAAATCCTCACCACCAAGGTGAGTGTCTCTGTCAGTTGCCTTCACTTCAAAGATACCCTCTTCAATTGCTAGCAGGGAAACATAAAAAGTACCACCACCAAAGTGAAAGATCAACACGCTCTTCTCTCCCAACATTTGTGGCATTCTAAGATCACTTTAAAAAGGAAAACAAACAGGTCAAGTATTAAGGCAATATAATGGACTCCGTTGAACCACCAAGCAGTCCAATTTCTATAAACCCAAGATATACGAAAAACAAAACAGACTTAAAGAAAGATTGGTGCATTGGTTGATACATAGAAAGCCATATACTTATAATAAATTAGCCTAGGACATACACATCTGGTTGTCAAAAGATACATGACTTGCAAATGTTAACATATAGAACTATAAAAGCAAAATGTTACCAACAAAACATTATGGAAGCCAATATGGCTTATCTAGGATGAGAAACAGCTCAATGACAAAAAACCCAAATGAGATACTGCTAGCTTCGGATTCACTTATGAATGATGAATTTCGATATTGTAAACTTCTTGAGATTCTTGATCCATCAATGGAACACTCATCAAGAGAATAAAGGACTCAAATTTCATATCCAAACAAAAGCTACATGTATCTTTCGAAGTGTTGAACATCAATGGATAAAATCAGTCTCATATTGCAAGTTGTGAAGCCACTGGTTGAAGAGTGAACAATCAGTAACATTGTTGCTAAACCAAAAGTCAAATGTCTCCAACTGCTCGAGTCCTTTCATTAATGTTTAACTGATTTGTATAGAAGAAAGGCCAATATAAGTTGATTATCACAGACCAGACGGTTATACAGATGAAAAAAGACCAAACAACATTATTACTGAAGTTACATCTAACCGAAGGCAAAGGAAAAAAAAAAAGAATAATGAAATACCCAAACACCATCTAACCTGGAAATTGTCAATGAAAATTAAGAGATTAATCTTGGACTTGATTCATCTATTCCCACGAAACACAAAATGAGAACGGGAGAAGGGGGATTGGAACAGTTATGGCAACCAACAAATACAAAGCAGCAGAAATAAAATTAAGAGATACAGAGAGACCGACTTGTAAACGGCAGCAAGTAAGATCTTGTCCGCTGTGGTGGCTTTTGCTGCCGATGTTGTTGTTCCCAAGATTTCAGATGAGATTCAGGGGCAAGAACAATAAGAATGAGAGATATTGAGAAATTTAACTGATAAGTTTTTTTTTGTCACAATAACACGGAAAAGATATAGAGACAAAGAGAAAACGGACCTCCTATTACTACTCCATCCGAAGCTGAGCCTCTGATCGGTCCCTTATATCCGTCACAACCTCGAGACAAATCAAACCCGAAATAGTCCCAAATGACTTCTCGTACTCTCTGTTGTCAGCCTGCACCGGAGATCAAATCAGACAATTCTTCTCTTGTCCTTGCTTATGAGCCTCCCTTGTCAAAGACCAAAAGAAATCGTGAAAACTGCTAATTAAAAGAAAGGATGCGGAAAATGAAAAGTAAGATTTGCATTATACTCAGCATTAGAGATGATAAGAACAAAGCTACATCGCTATCATAAAACTCCACACCTATTGGATTGAGCAAGCAACCAAAGTGAAAGCATAACAGCTTTTCTCCCCACATCATCCTCTGTCATTAAGCCAACTGCTGAACCAAATATACAACTCTCATTTAACCAAACGCTTCACCAGCAATAAATCAATCAAGCGAAGTACAATTAGGAAATTAAGTGACCTCTTGGTGTAGAATTGAGAGAGTCGTGAAGAGAATTAAATATAATTGATCTGTGACATGTCTTTTGACTCGCCACCGATATTTCCCCTAACAATAGATCAACAGAACCTTTTGTTAGAAAAAAAAACGAATACATGAAAGACATGTGCAAAAACAAACTCACCAGAGGGAGTCATAGACGACCGTCGTTCTACAGGCCATCAAATTTGCTAAAGTGTCCGGCGAAGAAGAACGTTTCGTCCATGGAAAAGACCAAGGGCTTCATCTCTTCACGCAAACCTTTCCTGGACCCCTGGAATCTGGTTGGGGGTTCATCTCCCTCCCCATGAGATCGGAGAAGACGAAAATGAGAGGGTATTGAGGTCGAGCTCGGAGAACTGGACCGAGAATGGCGTGGTGAGGAACACAAAATGGAATAGGGCGCAGAACTGAGCAGGGAGAGGGCAACGACCAAAGCAATCGGCCCTCAAAGGTAGCGATGGCCCGAATCGAGTTGAGCAGGCAAGTACAGTACGATTCATGGGCGGTGGCGTGTTTGGAAGAGGGTTCGGTAGCGGTGCCGTGTGGGAGCACAATCCACAACCTGGAAACATCGAAAAGGTGAGGGAAGCGATGAAAGGGAAGGAAGGATAAAAGGGGGCAGTCCAAGTCCTGTGAGTACGGATGGTAGGAATGGTTGTCTGCTGGACTGAGGTGAGGGAAGGGAAGGTCCTACTGGCGCTGGGAAGGATTGGTTGAGAAAGTTGTTCGACGAAAGCGCAGCTAGCTTGATTCGGGGAAAGTAGCAAGGTGAAGTGACAGGAGGAAAAAGACACTATTCCGTTCAAGTTTTGCGGAAAGGGTGATCTGGAGCAAGCGTACGGAAGGCGTGGCCGCTGATTTAACCGGGCAGTGACGGACTGACTTCTGAATTGCCACAAGCGGGGCGTCCCCGACCGCCGCAACCAGCTTCCCTACGGAGAACAAAAAAAACCCCTTTTGCTAAACGACAAGGAGTGAAACAGTAGCAATAAGTTGGGGCAATAAAGCGTATCCACCTTTTATCTTTTAAAGAAGGGTAAATACAATTTAATATCCAAACTATTCATTTTAAACAATATAATAGCCAAACCTTTTAGAAAACAATCTAATATCCAAATCGTCAACTTTCCGTTCGTTTGACCGTTAGTTGACACTTCAAAAAAGTTTGAAGTACGACGCTTCATCAATATCCATCGATATCTTCTCTGAAAAACCACCAACATATCGTGGTTTCAACCCCGAGAAGTCCATGACTCCCCATGATGGTATAGAATATCTAAATATTCAGTCATCTGCAATGCCAAAACAAGAAAACAAAGTTGTATTGTGACAATTTCCCCTAAATAAAGCTTTTTTGAAGTGTCAACCAACGGTCAAACGGACGAAAAGTTGACGATTTGGGATATTAGATTGTTTTCGAAAAGGTTTGGCTATTATATTGTTTAAAATGAAAGGTTTGGATATTAAATTGTATTTACCCTTTAAAGAATTCTGCTCCACAATTCCTGCAACTTGCACAGAATCAAGAAATGGAACAAAGAAAAGTAACAAAATATCATATAGAATCACTTTTCATTTTGGGTGTAGCACAAGGTTGTCAACCCGCGGGTCGACCTATCGGTTGCCCTGCTTTGACCCTGACCTGGCGAGAAAAGTGGGTCATAGACACCCGCTGCAAGGTATCGAATTGGAAGTCAAATGGCGCCATTTTTTCTCTGGTTAGTGAAATACTGTAGAAAACGATAGTGCGGAATAGGAGAACACGAGTGGTATCCTCGTTCTAGTTCGAACGAGACTAATCCACGGTGAGCTCGAAAGAGCTCACGGCTTGAGTTTTATTTTATGATGAATATTCAGTACATGGCCTTCAACATGAACCTCGGTCATATATATAGAAAAGCACAAAGACTTCAACGCAGACCTAACTTGGGACACAAGTAACAGAGACCAAAGGGTAAAAGGAAAAGAACAAGACCAAACTATACAAGGACACGTAATACGCCCCCTCAAGCGCAAGCATGAAGATCGAACATGCCGAGCTTGGACAAAAGATGGTGGTGATGTTCAATCGATAACCATTTGGTGAAGAGATCCGCCGGTTGCTCTACAGTGGCAATCTTGCGAGGTGAAATGTCCAAAGACTAAACACGTTCCCGAACAAAATAGCAATCCATTTCCACATGCTTGGTACGCTCATGAAAAACATGATTTGCTGTAATGTGAAGAGCGGCTTGATTGTCACAGTACAGAAGAGTAGGACCAGACTGCGGAGCACCAAGGTCAGAAAGGAGCCAACGCAGCCAGAGAACCTCGCAAACGGTACTGGCCATAGCACGGTACTCAGCCTAAGCTGACGAGCGAGCAACAGCAGTCTGTTTCTTAGTGCGCCAAGAAACAGGTGAGGAACCAAGACGGATAAAATAACCAGTGGTGGAACGACGAGTCGTCTGGCAGCCACCCCAGTCAGCATCACGGTAAGCCGTCAAGCGAAGGGGACCATGAGCAGGTAGAAGAAGCCCACACCCAGGCGATGCCTTCAAGTAGCGCAACACCCGGTGAGCGGCATCAAGGTGAGCCTGAGTCGGAGCATGAACGGCTTGACTGAGGATGTTAACTGCATAAGTGATATCAGGATGAGTGACTGTGAGATAGAGGAGTCTTCCAACCAGACGTCGGAAAGCTGCAGGGTCAGGAGCTGGTGGAGAAGGAGTGCGACCCAACTGATGATTCTGTTCAATGGGAGTAGAGGACGGGCAAGTGGCCTGAAACCCAGTGTCAGCGAGAATATCCAACACATACTTTCGCTGATTGAGGACGATACCCTTACCTGAACGAGCAACCTCGATCCCAAGGAAGTACTTCAACGGTCCCAGATCCTTGATGGTGAACCGGTCGTGAAGAAATGTCTTGACGGACTGAATGAAAACCAGATCATCACCAGCTAAGATAACATCATCAACGTAGATGAGAGCCACAACAAAGGAACGATCCGTCCGAAGGATGAAGAGTGAGTGATCGGCATGGCTCTGACGAAAACGGAGTTCAAGAAGAGCCGCAGAGAATTTTTTATACCAATTCCGAGAGGCCTGTTTGAGTCCATAGATAGATTTGCGAAGAAGACAAACACGGGTATCACCTGGCTGTGCGAAACCCTGTGGGATTTTCATGTACACTTCCTCATCTAAATCACCATGAAGGAAGGCGTTGTTAACATCAAGCTGGTGGATGTGCCAACCCTTCGTAACGGCGACAGCAAGGAGGCAACGAACAGTGACAAGTTTGGCGACTGGAGCGAAAGTATCATGATAATCGATACCCTCGACCTGGGTATATCCTTTAGCAACGACACGCGCCTTGAAGCGTTCGATAGACCCAGTCGGGAGATACTTGATCTTATAAACCCATTTCGAATCAATGGCCTTCTTACCGGGAGGAAGAAAGGTCAACTCCCAAGTGCCATTGGCAACCAAATCAGAAAACTCGGTGTTCATGGCTTTGCACCATTGAGGGTGGCGGACAGCCTGATAGAAATACTTGGGCTCCTTGAGTTGAGAGACCCGAGAGATGAATGCCTGATGTGAGGGAGACAGCCGATGGTAAGTGACATAGTGAGCCATCGGGTAAGTGACATGTTGTACCGGAGAAGAACCAGGGAGATCATAGGCATAATCCCCAAGATGAGAAGGCGGACGACGTGCCCTATCTCCACGACGAGGGAGAGGAACCGGGTCAGCAGCAACAGGCGAAAGAGAAGCTGTGCGCGACGGAGAGGTGTCGCGAGGGGCCGAAGGTGAAGCATCGACCAGGGGAGACTCCTGGGAAGTTGACAACGTCGCAGGAGAGAGATCAGGAGTCACTGGCGACGTGGAAGGAGGGACAGTGGTGAGAGGCGTGACAACCTCAACCGTCGGGGGAGCAACAGCCGAAGAAGGCTGCGGGGTGCAGGGACAAGCATCAGTGGATGATGGAGGAGAGTTGTGATCACCAGAGGATGGAAATGTGGTGGTCTGGTCAAGATCCATGATGCGCATGGGCTGAAATGGCACATGAGTGGAAGGATCATGCCGAGGAACTATGTCCGCGAGTACACGCGGATCCTTGTAGGGGAAGATATGCTCAACAAACACCACATCACGAGAAGAATAGATCGTTTCCGTCTCGAGATCAAAGATGCGATAGCCCTTTTGGGTGGCAGGATAGTCGACAAAGATCCCTGGTCGCCCTCGTGCTTCAAATTTGGAGAGATTCCTGTGAGTATTTTTAGCATAGGCAAGACAGCCTAGGCTGCGAAGATGATCATACTTAGGAAGCTCGCCAAGAAGGATTTGATAAGGAGTTTGTTGTTGGAGAGGGACCAGGGGCATGCGGTTAATATGTCAGGTACGGTTCCTCACTCTTCGTCTTCTTGGATCATTGACTCTGGTTGTAATGAACATATCATTACCGATAATTCTTTATTTGTTGGCGAGTTTGCGACCAACACTGACTTGCAGGTTCGGATACCCAATGGTAGTGGGGTCCCTATTCGAAATATTGGAATGACTCGGTTGGAAAATGGCTTGGTTCTGAATCGGGTCTTACATATTCCCGATTTTCAATGCAACTTGTTATCCCTCAGTCGTCTCACTGCAGATCACCCAGTGGCAGTTATATTCTTAAGCGATCTGTGTTATCCAGGACTTGGTTTCGAAGAAGATGATTGGGATGGGGATTCAGAGTGATGGTCTATATCAGTTGCGGGTTTTTCAGCAGAGTCATCTGGTAGCTTATTCGGCGCGGCAGGCATTGGGGCAGTCCGAGCTTTGGCACTCTCGCCTCGGACATCCTTCTGGAGCGAAGTTGTTGGCCTTGCAACCTTTCATATCTTGTCCTTTACTTTCAAGTCAAGTCCCGTGTGATTCTTGTTTACGGGCGAAGCAGACTAGACTTCCTTTTACGCACAGCAGTATTAAGACTAAAGCTTGTTTTGATCTTATTCATATCGATATTTGGGGTGGATTTCTACATGGTATCAGAGCTGGTTTGTCCTTGCGGTCACGTGTTCAAGTCCTCACGACCCCCAATATTAACCGTTGTCTTTCAAGCACATGGTAGGGCTGGGCCTGTGCAAACTTCAAGCCCATGAGTCGGCTTTCGTTTGAAGGGGCGTGTAAGGAAGTGGTTAAGCACCATACACGACCCTGTATAAGATCCAGCATAACCTTATCCCAACAACTCGAGTTATTGGGACCAACTGGTTCATGACAAATACGCTTAGTTTCCGGGTTTTCTTTTCGCCCAACTCAATCTTTGGAATTCTATGTTGAACATTTAAACATAGATGTTATATAAGTGTGTCTTAATTTTCACTATATGTTGGATCCAAGTGCTATATGTTATTTTGGTATAATATTATATGTTATTACTCATATGTTAGATGATGGTGGCTACTTCGGCGCACTCACTTTTTTTGGTGCACTCTGTGCACCCAACTCTAAAAGTGTCCATAATACATCAAATTTTGAATTTCAATTAGTACTCTCAATCTAATATGATGATATGACATAGAATCATAACAAATCAATCTATTACCCTAACCCCCTTAACCTTCAATTTTGAATCCCAACCCAAAATCCCAAATTGTAAACCTAAACCCTAACCCTAAATCCTAAATCCTTCAAATTAAAGTAAATTTTGAATGATTTTTTTTTCAAATTCGTGTGCTTCTTGTTTATAATTCATAAGCAACAATTGATATCGTTTTGACATGAATCACATGCTCAGGATGATAATTATGAGGCGGGTGCACTGAGTGCACCCAAAAAAGTGGGTGCACCGAATACGCCACCGTTAGATGATATTTTATATAATTTATAATGTATGAACAATATAATGTCTTTTATCCAATTATTGAAATACTGTATCGGAGGTAGTACTGAAAAAGTCAACAGTATAGTATTTTATGCTAAAATCATGGTTTAATCGTGGTTCAACCGCTTCACACTGCTAAATGTCGTCTATCGGTTTAACCTTCGATAGTAGGTTTTTCTGGTCAAACCGCTAGTACGGTACGGTACTTCAATCCTTGTTTTTATCATATATACGGGCTAAAGCAGTCAGCTCATTAACCTTCAACCCACTTGCTCAACCGAGCCAACGGGCTAAACCGGGTTGACTACCTTGATTTAGCGAAAATGACGGATTATGCATTACCCTTTTCTTGTTCTTTTCCTGATCTTTTTCTATGAAAACCGTCTTCCTGTAGCAGTTAGAGTAAAGACCTTCACGCGTGGAAATTTTGCAAGGGAGAGATTCAGTTGTTAGTAAGTTGCAAACTGTGAAACTCAACCATAATGTTGGATAGAGACATTACAGGAGACACATGATTGACTTCATTTGGATGTCTAACTCAAGCCTTACATATCAGAAACTAGTAATGGCATCCTACTTGTTACTCCTCTTTATACCGACAACTTTTTGTGAATTAATGACAGAATTTGCAGCTTGCAACTACTTTAATTAATGCCAATATCTCTTCTTAGAGATCGAATGTGGGAACTTCCTGCAAAGAAGGATACAGTGCACGATAAACCATCCTGTCGAAAACATTCCGGTAAGGATCTTTCTCTCTCTTCTTCAAAAGGTAATCTATATTCATTTCGACGTCAGATTTTATCTGCAAGTAGAGCTGGTGAGCTTCTTCTCTGTTTCTGAGGACGTCTTCCCTTCCTTTAGTCTCTATGGGCTTCCCGAAGAGAAAATACATTCGGCCAGGAACCTTTGGCAATAGCCCTGGAACAAAAAGTTCTTGGTTGGCGACTTCACCTTTGGTCTCATCCCTACGAATTTACCAAGTAGCAACAACTTAGTGAGGCCAATGCTAGCTATCATAGAATTGACACAGACATTAACGGAGCGAAAAATCACCTCACTCTCGGAGCACTGCGAGCAATGTCTCTAATGTAGTTGTTCAGGATAGGGATGTTCATCAGGTCTTTGTAGTCAAGAACTAACTGTCATGTACAGCATGACAAAGTTATAAACAAAAGCCGGGATTTGTGGAGACGAGTGACTCCCTGAGCAGGAAGTAAAAGAGTTACCTCTACTAGATCATCTTCTCCCACGCCTCCAAATGGTACAATTGTGGCTCCAAACTTGGCAGCCATCCTGACGAATTCCTGTTGTTCAGGCCAGATCAGCTTGTGTGCTTCCCCCTGAAAATTATGGAAAAAGAAAGCCAGTAACTGAAGTGTGCCAGTGGGGATCTTGGAGGCATGGCCACCCATCAGCAGGCACAGGTAACTTCAACCGGCAACAAAGGGCTGAATTATGCAGCTTTCTTATGTTCCCACTTTTTGAGGTTTATCAAGGATACCTTGTAATGTAGAGCCTCGCGGGCACCTCCAGGATAAAGAAGAACATGTGATTTTGATGAGAGCAATTTGAAAAAATTGCTTGCTGCAACAGGCACTCCACCCATCACTTTAATCCAGTCCTGGAAATTGAACTCAGAGGACGAGGACTCGAATCTGCCGCCGAATATTTCTGGATGAGCTATCCCACGAAGGAGGATGTTCTTCTGTTTCAAGTACTCCCCAACAAGGGAATGAAGTTCTATTCCCATCAGCATGTGGTACCCAACTAACAGCACAGGTCCTTGTGCTGGAACCCCAGCAAGACCTTTCACTATCCTTCCATCTTCTAATGTTGACAGCATCACAGTTCCAGTAACTGCCTGCATGAACCTGCAAGTTTATATTGATTTCTATCAAAAGAGTGGAGATAACAACTAACAGATGACTTTGGAGCTATGAGCTATTCAGCAATTAGAATCCGGAGTTTCATTCCCAGTCCCAATCAGGAAACTGGGAGTAGAGACAACAACAATTTTGACATGATTCGTTTGTCCCAATGTGTTTTTAATGTGGATTACTACGAACCGATTCACGTGTAGTACGAGACGGTAATGGTCGCATAGATTTTTCATCTTCTAAGATATGTAGTCGTAATCATCTATTTTGACTTCTATTTTATTATCTCCTACTACTGAAGTCCAACCTCTATCTATAATTAATTTTACAATATTTGACAAGTCAAAAACTCCAATATATCTTCAGGAAGTGTTTGTTCCTAACGTTTTAAAAAATGAATCAGATTGTTATCTTTTATCAAATCACATATCAAGTTGAATCTACCTATCCTAACTCCATGCTCTATGGTTTTCATCTAGGTGCAAGCTTAAGTGATTCTTGCAATTTAGAAAAGAAGGAAGTAATCTATTATTTTCATTATCTCATGTCAATCTATTGCTAGGGGGATTCAACCTAAACAACAATCTGCACCTAGGTGCTAGCTTAAGTGATTCTTCGCAATTTAGAAGATAAGGAAGCAATCTATGGTTTTCATTATCTCATGTCAATCATTTGCTAGGGGGATTCAACCTAAACAACAACCTACCTCTAGTGATCTCCCTCGTACTACTGTATCCCGCCTATACTGTACCTTGGCCGGGCAAAAATTCTGTCTACATGGAGAAGTATCTAACCAAATATAATTTGACTTGATTTCGGTAGTAGAATTCTGTTTCGAAAATGCCTGTGTAAAAACACTAAGTGTGGCATGAGACATTGAAGAGCAAATTACCTGCCATCTTTGAAGAATATCCGTTCAAATTCTGATTTGCTAGGTGGGACATAATCCATGACAAGGTCAACCTTCCTCGAACGACGATATTTGCCTACACCCTTAATGATAGTAAGCAAACTGAGGCCTTCTTCCTGCAGCACCACCGAGAGAAAGAAACACATAAAGTAAGTGAAAAAGAAAAAACCAGGAATCCATCAGCTTCTGTCAGAAGCTCTCTTCCATGATCAGAAGATATTTGCAAAAGAGCTTAGAAGCGTCGCTCTTCAACATTCATTCAGGCCCACCAATAGAAGGGTATGCCCATTGTCCTTGAAGTAACGAACTTGACAATTCTGCAACCCTTTTTTAAGACGCTGAGCTTCATTCTTGCTAGGAAGCATGAAATCTTGGCCACTGCAGTTAGTAAACACACCCATCAGTTTTACTGTCGATATTTCCAATTTGAAAATCAGCCAAGAACAGGGCCCAGATAACGAAACCCAAGAAGTTTGCATCTAGCCAGGAACCTGGCGAGTAGTAGTACTTCAGCTTTGACAGCATGCAGACGTGAATTAGCATAAGAGGAACCTGTCTGTATCAGTTTCAACTTCCAAACAAGAGTTTCCTTTGGAATAATTTCACTCAACACCTGGGGGAAAAAACACCCACATTAAATGCATTTATAAGGCCTAAAGTAGGCTCTTCATGTAATCAAATCGTCCAATCAGCACCCCTGCACCCACTTGACCCAAACCTTTTCAACTTGAAGAAGGGTTAAATCTCCAGTTTGTTGGTTGTGATCGAATTGGAAAGGTTTGGGACGAGTGGGTGTGTGGGGTGCTGATCAGATGAAATTTGTGATATACCAATCCATCTGGCATATGCCGATCCACAAAACAAACGGCATATCAGATAAAAGGATGCTAAGTGTTTGCTTAGTAGTACATTTACTTAGCCTAGCTAGCATTTGCTTCAGAATCTTAGTTTAGACCATTTTATATAGATTTCATAATTTAGTGATAATTTAGGAATTTGACCTATGAGGAAGCAGTAGCTTGTGAAGGCTGAACTGACCAGGAATTTAAATATTCAGGACTTACAAAAAGGTAATCAAGTAACGAAGTAAGTTTTCCAGACAACTGCTCAATTTTCTCCCTTGGAGGAAGCCTATCTTCCAAACCAACCATTGCCATTTTCAATGGATTACCTGTTAAGAAACCAGCACCAGTGGTTCAGAAAGCATACTATTTCAAAACTCCGAAGAATGCAATTGCAAACACATGAAGCTCTTTGGAGAATCGCTAGCCATGAAAAATACGATGCAACTATCAGTTACCCATGATGCCGCTCAAAAGATAGGGAACCACACTATGGAATTCGTTAGGCATAGCCTCCAAGATAGGAAGGAGAGGTTGAATCTGAGACCTTGTAAATGAAGTAGCTGTCGTAACAAAAGAGCAAAATTGTCAGATTAGACTGTTTCAAACAAATTATAAATTCCTTGGGAACTTACTGACCTGGATTGACTAATATGACTACAAGGTCTATTTGAGGATTCCTCGCGGCGACAGCAAGAGCTAAACATCCTCCAAATGAGTCCCCTACCATATAAATTGGCCTGTTTGGAGCTGAGGAATGCTCAGACTTCAGAGTGTCCTCCACAAATTTCACCAGGCCTTCATGGAATAAACCCAATAAATGTTAACAGGTGCAAAAAGTACCAGTATTAGGCCTTCGGCCATTACAAACAAAATGTTGAAAAAAACTGCTTTTGGGTAAGAGCCAAGGGACATGCATAAAGATGTATTTTCTTGTACAGTTGTTTGACCACCCAGCTAGCAATAAGATGGATGGTAATAAGATCATTAAATCAAATCCCATTGTGCACAAGAACTAGATCCCACCACAAAAGGAAATTAGATAGGGCTAAGAAAACATGTTATGGTACATGCTCGGGAAGAATAAGACCTTGGAATGGAGTTCGGTCATACACTGGAATATGGAGGCACCTAACTTCAAACACCCTGCATTTGCCAAACAGGTATTATTTCGTCACCCACCTCAGCTGAACCATTGCATATACCAAATCTTGAAGTAATTATGTTTGAAGAACCGTTTTCGCTAAGAAAAAAAAAATCGCATGAAGGAGCATCATGCATCTGAACAAGGATCAAATCAAAGTTATCAAAAGAGACAAAATTTGGTGTGAGCATTTCACATTACATATTCACCAGTTCAAAATCCCATTCATCAATGAGAAAGTTCTAAGTGATTGCAGAATATCATAGAGAAATGAAAAGTCTAAACATTGAAGCTGCAGCTTGAAAGACTCAAATGATAGATAGAGATCACGAAGGTCATTGCTTCAACTTGAAACTGAATGGTACGTGCAGGTCAGTAATCAACCCTTTATGAGCCCTATAATCTACCAGCAAGGTGGAGATAGAAAGTGCAGACTTACTTCCCAAGTGCTTTATGGTGCAACGTAAGTCCCAAGCCAACACCATCGGTCCCTGCATATACAAATAGCAACGGATAATTTCAGCATTCCCACAAACTACCCTAAAAGAGTTCACTCCAAATGTTGATATCAAACACTGAAGATCACTCCATCTCTCTGCATACTTGTATTCTTCATTACCAGGCAGAAATAGAAGAACGGGAGAATCTTCGAGCGGTTGCCCACACTCAACTGGACAAAACCAACGAGGAGGCCCTCCATCTTGCCTAATCATATCTTTAGATGCAATAAGATAGTCCTTCACAGTCTTGGTTCCATATCCATCATCCCATAGCACATCCATGTCCTCTGAAATAGCACCTTTTCTTCTACTTTTCTCACCACCACTGCTTAACCTCAACCTCCCATTCCCTTCAGCAACCAAAGGAGACATGCTTTTCTCTTTCTGCTCAACGCCACCATCGAACAGTGACTCCACCTCATCTTTGCCTCTGGTGAAACTCCTTCCATTCAACAGCACTGAATCTGATGAAAATGCTGTCGACGATGATGCTTCATCACGGTCTAAACTCCGGACCTTCACTTGAAACTGAGGCTTGCTGCTCTCTGGAGCTCTCAAGAAAGGAAGAGATACAGGGAAAGCTTTAAGCAATAATGATGTCATGGCTCACAGGTAAACCAGAGCAGTTGCAGTTCACTACCTTTACTAGTTATCTCAACAGAGTCGACCAAGCAAAAGCAACTATTCACGAAGAGCTACCAACCCTCTTCATGGTTATAAGCCTAGAGGCTAGAGCTCTTCTATATCGAAGCAAGCAGCATAGAGAGCTCAAGAGACCCTTTAACTTCAAAACAGTGTTGAGAAAGTCCCACCAGAGCGAGAAATTCCCAAACTACAAAACTCTCAAACTCGCTCTTATTATGCTTCCAACCAAACGCAGAGGAAAACAACAAGAAACGCAGAAGGAGCAAAACATCAAACAGGTTGCAGGCAAAGACGAGAACTTGAAGAAGAAGGTTATGGGTTCTAGAACAAGAGGAATTTCCAGAAACCATCCTAGCATATCTGTGTCTTAATACTAGAGAAAGGGACCCACAGCCCATAATCAACTCAAGGGGGAATTTTCGATATTTTTCCAGTGGTTACCAAATATGAAAAGGCAGGGAATTGATGGGTGGGTAAAGGAGATTTGGAGGGTAGCCGAAATGAAACAGTACTGGGTTTCATTTTCACCCTTATGGGCGTCAGCTGTCCACACAAAGTGTTTCTGTGGTAATGGCGGTGGCCACACGAGAAGGACTTCGCGGTGTAGGTTACGTTGGTTGTTGCTTTAACTGCAGAAAAGGCAAAAGGGGAAGGAAAGCTTTTCAATGGGAACTGCCGAGCTGGGAAATGGGAGCTCCCAACTGTCGCAATCCCTACAATCAGAATTGGCGCGCAGTTTTTTCAGCGGGAAAGAAAGGCACCTACAGACCTACTTAGTTTGTGTTAATACTTAATTACGAAAATGACGTTGCTCATAATTAGGGCATCGACATGGCGATCTGGTACACAATTGGATCGAACATTCAACCAGGTCCCACTTGATTCGAATTAGTTTTTACTCGATTCACTTTTTTTTTTTAGGAAAAAGAGGGAGCGCACCTCCTGTAGTTTATTGATTAGGTCAAATGATAAGAGTCATGATACACATTGTTCAAAACGAATGACAGAGTGGAACCTAACCAACTAACTATTACAACTGTTCAAATCAACTGGAGAGTGCGGTATTCTGTGTGCAACAATGTTGGCTTCTCGAAAAACATGACTCCATTTCCTGCAATCTTCCACTTTTTCCTTTATGTGTATGAGAACTGGAATAGAATTAAATACAATTCATTCCAATCCAATTGGATTTAGAAGTTGATGGCAACTAATGGTCTGAACCAAATCATTATCCTGCCTATGCTATAATTATGTTTACCGTTTCATTTGATCCAGAATCATATCGAATGAATATAAGATTGGAGAACCATTATAAAAAAATGAGGATCGTTTAATTAAATTGAAAGTATATTCGGTGCTAGATCATGTATCTCTCAGTTAATTAGTTTTTAATAATTTTTAAAAATAATCAATAAAACTAATTGTTATTCAGATGTCGATTCACTTTGATACGAATTCCTCAATTGCTCAAGAATCAATTGACCAATCAAAATATATATCATGTGAAAGGATTGGATAAAAACCAACCTGACACGGTAATCATACAGATAAATCTACTCGGCTTGTTAGTCGTGACATTAAAATATCAATGGAATAGAAAGATCAAAACGTACAAATTCAATTAATTGGATGTTAATTGCTCACTAGAGCCCCCTGATGGAGTCACTTATTAATGTTTAGTAAATTAGTGGGGTCTGACTAGCTTTTCAGTACCATGTTTAAAGCTTCCAATTAAACATCATCAATCAATATCTTAAACAGAAACCAAACGCGTTTACCTAATCCAGCCCTAAAAAATAAAAGGAAAAGGGTTTGTTGTGGCCCATTCTCCACAGCATTTCCCCAGCAAGCAGCAACACATTAATAAAACCGTATAGCATCTTTCTTATCAATTTTATGTTACATAGTGATAGCATTATTAGGGATCGGCATTGAGTAGATTTTTCCTGTCAAAAAAGGCATTGAGTAGATTTGGGGGAGTTAAAGATGAAAAAGCACTTACCTACAACTATGAGAGTGAACTTAATTATCGCATACTTATTAAATATTATGACTCTTTGCTTTGTAGATTTAGATGATGGATTTCGTACCTAAATTCAATTCGTAATGGATTTAAGAAAAAACAATTATTTGCTTGCACTTTTTGTAGGGACTAAATTCATGGAACCCATAAATTTTAATGGTCCAAATTTGTGCACCCCACCACGGACTTGTAAATCCCACATGTTGGTATGAGATTTAAAACATGCCATAAATTCATTATGGAATTTTACCCGTATACCCTCATCAACTTTTAATATTCCAATTTTGCACTCACAACCTATTGTACATTATAATTAATCAATTAATTAAAAATAAATAAATAATATAAATATTCAATTTATATGCAAACATGAGTTAGATTTTGTTACGTCATTTCTTGTGTTCTAGTTTTCTTTGACTATTTCATGAAAGTGTAATTCTTGGTTCTCCTGCTTCTCGATGTGGATTATTGATAGACCATATGGATAAAGCGGTTAAGATAAATTTAAAAAAATTGCACGAAAAAATTAAATATATATCCAAACATGTATCAAAATAAATCAATAGAAAAAATATGCAATCGGAAACAAAAATTCGTAGGCTCAAGATAGAGTTATGCACTCTTCCATAATTAGATCTTGACCTTTAGATTTGGGTGGGCTTAAAGAAGTCGAAATCTAATAGGTGAGAATTAATGATTTTTTGTTTTTCTTAATTTTATTAATCGGCTCGTCTTTTTCGTTCTAATTTGAATTTCAAATTTTTTGCAAATATGTAACAAGTTCGTTATATTCTACAAATGAGATTCATTTTTATTATATTTGACAAAAAATAATTCATACCACTCGTTACCACTTTGGTACCACCTTCGTTTTAACTCGAATTTTAATTTTTTTTGCACAGATGAAAAGAGTTCATCGAGATTTATTAGATCTAAAAATTTCTAAAAAATACAGGACTAAAACGTACCACTAAATACCACCCCTGGTATAGGGCTGGTAAGTGGTAACTAGGGATGACAAAAAGAAATGGCAATTGTTCAGCCACTTACCCGGCAGATGGCATTGCAAGTTGCAACTGTTCAGGATTCGAATTTATGACCCAAGAAACAGTGCTACAGCAAATCATTAAGGGTTAGCATCGTACTAGAAATGGCAATTTGTAGCATGTGCATCGGAGCCAAATTCCAGTACCAGACAACGACTGCAGACCAGTTTGCCAACCAGTTTTTAGTCCTTTCCATCCCATCAGAAATAAATGAAATGAAGAAGGGAAAACTGCGCATTTTCTCTCCATTCTACATTAAATGCTTCGTTTGATTATGTACTGTCAATTTTAGTCTAAGTGTAAAGTTAAACGGAAGAAGGACCCAAAACTCACGTGGTGCCATGTATTTTTTCCCCTTGCCCTGCATTTCCCTCGTACCTCAAGCTCTGAATAGTTCACTTTGGGCTTAATTGCAAGTTTGGTCACTCGAATTGCTATAAAATTTCACGTTTGCCACTCAAATTAATTTATTCCATTTATAGTCACTCGAATTAGTTGAACAGTTCAAGTTCTGTTAACTTTGACTGACGTGGCGGTCAACTCTGACAGTTGACCGTTAAATGTGTGACGTGAAAATTAAAAAATAAAAATTAAATTTTTAGAAATTACACATCATTATCACAAAAAATTATAATTATAAAAAATAAAAAGCCGAATGGAAGCAAAAATTCCCAAAATCACTTATCGCAGCTTCAGCTTCCCAATTTATTCATTACTGAAAGTGGCAATTCGGACCACTATCAGTTCTCTGTTCAGCCCTACTCTTCTCTTCCTGAGCCTCCTATCCGCCTCCGCCGACTATTCAAACTCGTCGGCGGCGGCATCAGAAGCAGCCGGCGGTGGTATCGGACAATGCTTCACGTCACTGTTCAGCTTCGGCGACTCCGTAAGCGAAACCGGCAACCAGATGCTGCTGGGTAAGTGCCCTCACTGTTGCTTCCTACCAAACGGCGAAACTTACTTCGGTCGCCCGACTGGTCGCTGCTGCAACGGGCGTCTCATCGTCGACTTCATTGGTAATATATATATTTCACTTAACGCTAGCTCTTCCAGCGGGTTTTCTTAATTATACCTTGCTGCATATATATATTGAACTCAGTGTGTAATGTTTTTGTTTTCGGATTTGGGTTTGAATCAGCTGAGAAATTGGGGCTTCCTCTGCTGACGCCGTTTCCGGGAGAGCTGAAGAGCAGCAATTTCCGGTTCGGGGCAAACTTGGCGGAGGGAGGCGCGTCGGCCTTTGAAGAGCAGCAACGTACGTGGCATCGTGACCACGTAGTAGCGGCCGTCTCGGCCACCGATGGCATTGCGGCCGAAGCCGATGGCGCAGTTGGCCAGGCGCTTGCGGTGGGATTGCCAGTTGGGGTCGCATCGCCAGCAGTCGTCGATATGATTGCCCGTGAAACAAGACAAGTATCCCAACTTCCTTCTCGTCATGTTGTTCCTAATGCTCCTGTAAACAAAGATTCATGGTACGTAACAGATTAACAGCTAATCTAAAGAGAGTGGGGAAATATAACGAGTAATGGCTTCTATAATGTGGGAGATGGAGCAATTATGGTTGGGAAGGATTTTTTTTTCATTTTTTATAATTATAATTTTTTGTGATAATGAAGTGTAATTTCTAAAAATTTAATTTTTATTTTTTAATTATTTTTTATTTACCACGTCACACATTTAACGGTCAACGATTAGAGTTGACCGCCACGTCAGTCAAAGTTAACAAAGAGAGTGACCGAACTTGAACTGTTCAACTAATTCGAGTGACTATAAATGGAATAAATTAATTTGAATGGCAAACGTGAAATTTTATAGCAATTCGAGTGACCAAACTTGCAATTAAGCTTGAAATCACATACGGTTCAAAAGTATCAAAACCCTCTCGCACATGGCAAGCCATATGCGCTGCTTACCAATCGTCACAAACTCATTATTTCCTTTCTCAAACTGGAAGATATCTCTGTATAGAGAGAGTTCATAGTCAGGGAAAAGGTTTTGCACACTAGACTTTCCCACAGTAACAAGAACATGAAACAACTATCTCGCATATACAGTGTCGTGTTTCGGTAAATCCTTTGAGCAGTAAGTAAGCACCCTATAGACCTGAAGCTTGGGAATTGAGATAACTAGACCAGTTAACAACCTTACAACCACCAACTGACAATTTAACACCAACACAGTATTTGCAAACAACTGCATCATTGAACTTTGAACTACATCACGTACCAATATGAATCAAAATTGGGTAAGGAAACAGGAGGGGAAAAGAAGGTAAGATTCAAGTATAATAAGATTATCGAAGCTCATTGCACCTCATTGCACCGAAGAAGCTTTTCCATACCTTCATCTCTTCCACACAGGACACTGATACTCCATCCAGCCCTCGGCATTCACAGTTTTTGTTCCAAAACATCCCAGAAAATCATAAGCAGGAGAAAAATAGTGCCAAAGGACCCAGTGGTTCTTGATTAATAGAACTAACTGTATTTATTTCAACCTGGAGAAGGAAAGACCAAAACTGAACACTAATTCCGTTTTCTATGGCTACTAGGTATTGGGACCAACAATGAACACCTACAACGCTTTTCGACATCATAATTCATAATTTTATCACCCAGTAATCGTTAACACCTTAACCCACTCCCTTCCCGCCTTACAGCTCAAGATTGAATGACGGCCAGGAAGGTAATCAAAAAAGAGGACATTCAAAATTTATACACCACCTGTTTGCTGGCAGTGAACGCCATCCCTGATCTTCAAGGCAGTTTTGACATGGCCACAGATTTTACAATTTGATTGGCCTTCCTCGTTTCCAATATCAAGTTATCAAGGCAACCACAGCCAGAAGAATAGATATATTCCCAGGTATTTTCACAAAGGAAAAAAGATCACTTATCTCGAAGCCTGGTGATACCTGTTCCCATAAATAAAGGATACAAATTTAAGCTTTGTTCTTCAGGCAGGAAAGTTGAATACACACTACCATAAAAAAAAAGTGTTGAATACACACTATTGGTCAGCAATCATAGTTCTAGCTCCTGAATCTACGAATAAAAACTTTTGATATGTTCCTTAAAACTCTAACGAAGTTGTTAGATATTTCACGTCCATAAAATTGTGCTGCAAGTCAGTCAACAGAACTGATGAGAAGAAATCGTGACAAGAACATAGGGCAGATTTGTAGGTTTTAGGTTACGTTCAGGACACCTCAGAATGGAAGACTGACCTGACCTGCTTGGAATTAGTTGTGTATCGGGTCACTTTCCCTGGATGATTCTGTAGTTGAGGATCAGATCCTCAGGTTTCTTCCATATATAAGCTCGCACTGTGGCCAAACTCATTTCAGGGGACAGGACCTAGAAAAAAAATACCAAACGTCAGCCAGTAACAGAGAAAGGTTCGATTCTAACACACAGAAGAGGGATGATGAATTGCATAGAAGGTTTAAATATGATTACTGCAGTCTACTGACAGCAAGGAGGAATAGAAAAACCAGGGTACCAATGATCTTGATATAAGAGCCAGACAAGCATCTGAAATATATATATATATATGATGGTGTCTTCGGTGCACTCATTTTTTTGGTGCATTCAGTGCACTCGCTTCATAACCGTCATTTTAAACATGTGATTTATGTCAAAATGATGTCAATCATCACTTATGATGTGATGAACAATACATACATGAATTTGCACAAAAACCATTGAAGATTTACTTTAATTTGAAGGATTTAGAGTTTAGAGATTTAGGGTTAGGATTTACAATTTGGGGTTTAGGGCTTTGGGTAATCCACTAATTAGTTGTTATCATATGTTATATCATCATATTACACTAATTCTACAAATTAAAATTCAAAATCCAACACCTTAAAACTAGTTTTTCCAATTGGGTGCATTGAACGCACTCATTTTTGTGAGTGCACCGAAGTAGTATATCCTAACCCTTAATGAGTGAATCCTAGGTCTTAATTATCTAAATCATAAACTATAAACCCTAAGATGGTGCATTGATTTTTTGCCTAAATTTGGACGAATCATAACCGTCGATTATTATTTCTAATTAAATTGATCTTGGATATAAGATTTAGAGAATTAAGACATAGATTTTGATCTTTAAGGGTTAGAGTATAATATCATGTCCGAAAGATCAGTCAATTCAAGTTCTGGATAGCGTTTTCTTACTCAAGGTATGCGGTACCCAGAATTTCACTCTGGGTACCGTAGAACTCCTCATATATATATATATGTCAGATTGGTGTACTCCTGGAGTATACTGGAGTATCCAGGTACTTTTAGCGAGATATCACTACCCAGACCATGAATTAAACCGAGTTTGAGGCATGATACTATACCCTAACTTCTAATGGATAAACAGCAGGCCCTGATTCGCTAAACTCTAACCCGATGTTCAATTTAATAGAAAATATTAATTGACCGTTGAGATTGGTCGAAACTCAAAAAATGAAATCTAATGGTCATATCACATGGAGTATGGTATACTCCTCACACACACACATATATATATATAATTGCCCAGCCCTGCTATCTCTTTCTTATTACTGGCTGTTAATGCCCTAATCTATCAGACTTAATAAAACGCTCTAATCTATCGGGACTATCGTTGACTAAAACAAATACAGTCCATTAAACATCAGAAGGTTTCCAAAACTGTTTCCTACAGCGCAAGGGGATATTCACTGTTTTCTTCATTCATACTCCCCGTTCAAAGGGGGGAGGGGTGTTCAAATATAATTTCCTAGAAAATGATAACATTGTTACTTACTAAACACAATGGGAAGAGTATTTATTTATCCAGATACCTGATTATTGCATAATATCTCTATAGTATTCCTGGACTTCACCCAAGGTTTTGTTCCAGAGCGGAAAGATCCATCCCCAAGTGCTGAATGTTGCAATGGCCCTCCACCAAGTCCAGGAGCAAACGTTCCCTCGGGATTCAAATTGTCAAGTGGCTTGTCTAGAACCATCTTCTCTAGAACATAATTGACAACCTACAGGGAAAAATCAGTTTAATCAAGTAAGTTTGTCTAATCTGATCATATCTCACAAAATACATGACCACAACATAACCTAACATTACATATAAGCATTTTTTGAGGGCCCCATCAGAGCCTTAAATAAAACATATTACGATAGCAGTTGCGCCCATACCAACTTTACATCAAATAAGGTATCACTAGTAATGTTTGGAGTACTGTAACACCCCTGAAATAGACAAAGTGAACGAGAATTCTCCAGACTTAACTTATAGGTAAAACATAGACAGTGAGTCTTAATCTCGACCTCAAGTTAGAGAAACATAGACAACAAATTAACCATTTGCTAGTTAAAACAGGAAAACTATTCTGACATTAATATTGCTATAATAGAGAAAGATAATTCAATGTACATGCTAAGGCTAGCAGCAGAAGGCGAGTAATACTAAACTAATTCAAGCGATGAAGTGTCTCCACGCTGCAGGGTCTTACCAAGTGGGAAAAAGGGTTTTGGCTCTCGGCTCCTAAAACCAAACACTTGCTGAAAGTCAAGCAATGGAATGCAATCTAGTAACAGCTACATGAAATGTACGCAAGGAGAACAGACAGGGCAAGTTATGCACGTCCAACTAGTTAACACTACACCTCAATCAGATAAAGCCCAATTTCAATACTTGAGATTTTGTTTCCAGATTCAAGCGGATATATCCATGTATGCAGCAAGGGAATAGTCGGTCTGTTCCTAGTAGCACACTATTCAAAAAGACACAATGGAACTTTTCACTAAACATACTTTATGGATTCTCAATATGCGCGGAGCACTAAGTTTGCCTTGCGTGAGTATCTGGCAAGCATTGCCTTCACTGGGATGCAGATAAAAGCTACACCTGCAGATAAATCACATCTTAAACTCATCAGGGAGAGACAACAACCAAAATCAGTAGGAGTACAAAGAACATTGCCAGCACAGCATATACCTCAGGTAAGTTAAACTACAAGCCAAAAATGTGGAGGAAAAACAGGACGACTTCCACACTTTACACATACATCCCTGTTCAAATGCTTTCCATGTATGAAACTAAAACTATCGAGTATTTACAGGGATACATAGAAACATTACTTGGTATTCTCCCTAGGAGGTAAGCGATTATGCAGCACACAGTCCAGGCACCACCAAGGAAAATCCTTCTCATCTTCTCTTCCATCCAAATCAGTGGTTTTCTTTCTCCATGGACCCCCTTGAGAGCCCTCAGTAAGAATTGAAGGCGGAGAAGCTGTTGAAAACTCAAATGGAGGATATATGGAGTCATTTTCAGCATTGCCGTCTACCTCAACTCTGGAATTGGAAAGGCTTCTGGAAGTGATATCCTTGCCAGGAAGAACTTCGCCATTAGAAGAAGCTTGAGATCCAACTCTATGCTTTTTCTTAGATAACCAATGAATCAATAGTCCTTTAAGGGTTTCACGGGCCAGATTAACCTGAAGTCAAGATCCTTTTCATTAATGAGTGTGATTCTGGATCTCACAGAGAGAGAAAAAAGCCAATGTTTGGGGTTGCAACAATTCGTCTACTTAAAACACTTAAATAAGAGGCACATACTTCAATGCTTGTGAGAACAAAATTACAAAATAAGACTTCAGAAATTGTTATGTGCTCACATGTAAACAGATAACAGTTTCAGATTAACCACCCCCTCCCCCCCAAAAAAGAAAACACCATTGAAGGTCTCAACCAAATCCAAGCATTTCTTCTGTACATCTATCCACAAAATCAGACACCAAACCAATTCTGAGAAGTAGGTAACACATCAAGTGTTCTGTTGAATATACATGAATCATAAACAGAGGAGGTTGTTTTAAATTAATTCACCTTATCATCTTCAGCTTTCCCTGGAATGCTGAGGTCTGCTGAATACATCTCAGCTGAAAAGCATTGTGGAGTGTCCAGATGCACTGACAAGCATCCAAGCCTTGTATCCACTGTGAACCATGAAGGAATGCTCACCTATAAACAAGCATAAGGAACAGTCCATAATATAAAAATTTACAACACCATGGAGCTTGAACATAACATCAGATATTCACATCCAAAGTATCCACAGTACTTATACCATCTCAAATAATTGCTCTTTCTTCTCATCAAATGCCACCTGAAGAACACAAAACTTGAAAGTAAGAACATGCTGCACAGTAGCAGCTTGAGAATGGGTTCCCACCATTTGTTCACCAAGTAATGAATGAAAATATTTTAGTTCTCCAGAATATGAAAGACCATTTGGAAAAGGGATATTGACCTTCCCATAGTCCTCAACTATCACGCCCTTTGTGATCTCCCATAGCTTAACCGAACCAGCAGTGTCCTATCAAACATAAATGTCACATAATGTCTCAGTAAACCCTCTTTGACATACAAAAAGGTTCCTGTTTCGCAACAGAAGCCATTCCATATACAGGCAAAACTACAACGGTTACCTTGGTCAATACATGTCTTTTATTATTTAAAATCTCATGCTGCACTATTGCAGGAGTTCCTGGAATAGTCAAGGTGGGTTCCCTATGAACAGGCACCTACAACAGAAACAGGTGAATGAAAATCGAATAAAAAAGAAACATAATTATTTTCAAGAGTAATACATAAGTGTATAAGACACAGCCTAATCAAACAGTTCCAGGCAGAACACATGATGACAGCACTTTGCCTGTAACTTTATTGAAAATGGACAGACTACATCAACAGTTGTTAGGAGAACAACCCATGTTAGGCATGCGTTTATAAACACTTACTGGTGTAGACCCTTCTAGAGAAACCCTTGCCCTAGAAAATGACAAGTTCCCAGCCAAGAACGAACCACCTTTCTCAAAAACCTTTTCAGGATTTCGTCCATCTGCCGACCACCTATCAACTGAAGAGTCGGTAGTTGCAGCCCATATACTATCGTCATGCAGAGCCAATTGTATGATGGGGTGCTCCTTTGAACAGAGCAAAACACTTTCCCTAGTCGCCAAGTCCGTTAAGTACAACTGAGGGGGTATATAGTTGGAATGACAATTAGAGATCTCAGAGCAAGAATGCTTAGTAAAGGGAACTTTCAAGATAAAGGGTTTTGTGAAATTCACTCACAGAAAGATCTCTTCCGCCGCTATAAACATGACTAAATGTAGGGGTGCTGGCCAGGGTCCAAACAGAATCGGTATGCACCGCATACGAATGCACACATCTTTGCTGACCAAGATCCCATAGTCTGAAGAAAGCAATTCACTGTAAGACATGGGTTCATGAGGGATGGATAACATTGATAAGAAAAGGTTACCAACTTCACCTGATCATTGAATCAGAAGATCCCGATAAGCAAAACCTGGATGAAGGAAATATAAAAGTTATGTAAAAATTGAAGAGAGATAAAAGCACAGGTCGAAGCAAGCAGTGAGATCATTAATCTCAAAGCTCAAATGAAACTTTGTCATCACAGCATAATAACCAGAGCTCAAAGTCACATAAACATAACACATGTGGATGCAGATATAAAGATATATGCCTCACAAGGAGACAATAAAGAAGTAGCAACTGAACTAATATAGAAAAATGGCACCACAAGACTCAAGCAAACATTCCCCATAGACACTGGAAAATCACACTGAAGAATGAACACTACTAGCAACTAAGTTCATTCCAGGCCACTCTGAGGACCTTATATAATCGTACGGTAGATGTCACGAGAAAGTAAATAACCATTCTTACCAAAATTAACTAATTGTAAGATAGACCATTGAACCAACCTGCCAGTAGAATCTAGAAGCAAAGCTCTAATGTTATCAGTATGACCTCTTAGCTTCATGGTCTTTGAACCACTCCGTGGGTCCCAAACACGCACAACCTGAAGGAATGAAGATGAATATGATCTCATTGCTCAGAAGAACCAAGAACTGGCATTAAGATGCCAGGATCCATAAATTCAGTTAGCACTCAAATTTCCACCAGAATAGAGCGAGCCAGCGAGGTAAGCGTGCATCAGTGAGACTATACCTTCTCTGTTCCACCCGATACAAGAACTGATCCAGTTTCATTCATTGCCAACGCATATGCAGACTCCTTATGACCTTTTGCAGCAGTTGGTGCATACCCATGGGACTGAGTGTTATGTGAAGTAATACTGTTGCTTGAGCTAATGGGCCGTAAACTTGTCATAGGCAACGAATTACCAGAACCACCTACCCCATTTGAGTACTCATCTTCTGTTGTGTCACTTGCTTTTGAAACTGGAGTGAGTGCAGCTTCTATATCCCAAATGAAAACCTCTCCACCAAGGCCACAGGAAGCAATAATATTGCTCTAAAATGCATGACACTAAGAGAAAATCAACAAATGCATTTTATAACGTACAAAAACTA